AAAATTGGACCTCGTCTGGCTTCCTCACTTTAAATGTCAGAAAGCGTCCATGCAGAGACACACCCTAAATGTCAGGGTCTCCTTAAGCATTTAAAAAGATGCAACAAGTGTGTCTTTTATATTTGACAGTACAGAATAACACAGGTTTTTAGGAAGATTACTGATTAAGATCTGGCAATTATATCTCGATTTGTTCAGATTTGAATTAATAAAATCCATCCCACAAATCCTCTACATTTCCTGCTTTCATTTCCTGATTTGTGAAGAAAGGTGTGCAACAAAATGGCAGCCCCTCAGTCATGGACGTATCAGGGAGTCTGCAGCAGAAGCTCTGAGTTCAAATGGGAAATGTTGGGCTTATTTCTATTGTTTTTGTCACAAACAGCTGAATGCAGGAACCTTTACTTTAGAGTCTGATGAGTTGACTTTTAAAGTATTTTACCAACAAAAACAAGCAGGTCATTGCACGTCTGTGTGCCGGCGGGTGCATGGGAGAATTGTCTACCACTCACATTTATTTTTAAAATTGGGTGCGTTGAGGGAAATTTGCTGGGTCTTGATAAAGAACTGTTTTTGTTTTATTGTGGATTACTTGTTCTTTAGGTTTGGCTGATTGTTCTGTGTTTGCATGTTCAAATGTGCACGTTTAATAAATGCATGTTATTCTATAGGTTCTCCTTTTTACATATAGAATCACAGCTTTTAAGGGATTTAACTCACCGTATTACATAGGTGCGGAACGGGATGATGTGCTGCATGACCGCGGGAATGTGCAACCATATTCGGATCTGTGAGCAAACACAAAGAGTATTTAACATCAAACTCACATGAAAACATATCAGACAGACTGCATTGGGAGTCTTTATAATCACTGGTATCTCTGTTCCTAGTTCATAGGGAACATCTCGGTTAAATTACAGCAGAATACAAATAATTAACATCAATGAGGGTTGGTTAAATATACAAAATACTTGTCAGTATACTGCAACACTGTTCAACAGAACTTAAAATCAGGACCTCATCATTAACAGCTCTCTGAAACACATCACAACAATTAATAATACCTTTCATTAAGGGAGAATTTATTTCATAACTGATATCAGAGTGCATTATATTTCAAAATGTGTTCTTAATACATTTGCAAAAAACATCCCTTATCAAATCATATCTCAATCTTTCATTTAGTGAAGAGTTATTGACTTTAACGTGCTACTTCAAATCCTTTTTTTAGATGTGTGCATATGTATACATGTGTCTGTTGATTGTGTATATATAGGATATACATATTTGTATACATATTTGTATATATATTTGTATTCTGGATTGTGGGAAACGGTATTTCGTGTGTGTGCGTGTGTGTGTGTGTGTGTGGACTCACGTTGGAGACGATGGTGATGAAGGCGTGTGCGATGGGGAAGGGGAGACTCTCCGGGGTCCCCGACTCAAAACACTCCTTCATCAGCGAGAGGCCGTGCTTCCCACAGAACAGACAGACGTAGCGCAGCAGGTGCAGAGGAACCTCCACGTCCTGTCAACAAGCAGAGAGAGAGAGACAACGTCAGATACATCCCAGAAAGGCCTGACGCATTACTCAAGCTTTTTATCTTAAGATTTTTCCACATTACTTTCCAGAAGGTGAACTTGAGTCGTGCTTACAGTCAAATGTTAAGTGTTTGTGCAGCAGGAAACACAAAAGTAGTAGTTTGAAATGGCCTTGTCCTTTAACCATCTTGTTATGTTTCCCTAAGAAAGCCTAAAATCATGAGCCTTAATTATCGTGGTGGCATGGTTTTCTATTTTTCGATGTTACACTTGTTTTGCTATAAGAACGTGAAGGACTTTATAAATTAATTTGAAATCATGTCAACATCCACTCTTAACTAAAATGCATTATGTGCTGTGTTATAAGAGCTGCTGCACTTCTGGATTCAACAAGTTAAGTGTGTTGAAAAGTGTCGTTTTTCTTATTTTGGTGTACTTCATATTAAACTTGTTTTGACTTGATTGAATCTCTACTCTACATGTGATAGTTGAAATTGTATTAATATAAAAACAACTGTTATTTTTGGTCGGTCAAATCAGTGAAAGATGGTGGTTTACATATGTAAGCAGTCCAAAAGTCAAAGGGGAGAAAGAGCCTTAATTATAGTGCTGGCTTGGTTTTTCTATGTTTAGATGTTTCAACGCTCGTTCTAAAAACTTGCAGGACTTTAGAGTTGAATTGAAAATCATGTCAACAACAATTCTGAACTCTACTGCCAAATGGTTGTATAAGATTTGTTACGAGAGCTGCTGCATTTCTGGATCAGACAGAGGGGAGTGTATTGGAAATGGTGGTGTAGTCATGTTTATTTTGGTGTTCTTAAAACAATAAATCATTACCTTTTTTTGACTGAATTTCCACACGGCAATAGACTGTTGTAGTATAAAGTAGAAATACAAGTATTGGTTGTATGTTGTGTATTACAGTCGTATTTTTGGCCTGTAAAAATCACTGAAAGCGGAGTGTCTACATACACAAGCAGTAGAAAACTAACATGATGAGCCTTAATTATAGTGCTGGAATGGTTTTCTTTATTTAGATGTCTCAACACTTAAGTCTGCTATAGGCAGTCAATTATACGTGATGTGAATTTAATATCATGTCAACAACAACTGTGAGCAAAAGGCAATAACATTTGGACAGTCGAGCAAATGTTAGTGCACTCAACAATATATCATGAACTTGTATATATAGGACGGAGCTGCCATCCATGGAGGACCTTTACTCCCAGCGGCTCAGGAAGAAAACACTACGGATTATCAAAGACCCCCATCACCCCAGACTAGGGCTGTGCAATTAATCGTATTTTAATCTCGATTACGATTTTGGCTTGCAACGATTACGAAAACAATGTAATCGAAATAAAACGATTATTATTTGTATTAAAAAAAAAAAAAAAAAAAAAAAAAACATTCTGTTGAATTATACTTAAAGTTCAAAAAGATACTGTTCAACATTTTTTTTTCAATATATGGATGTTTTCAAAGTAAATGGATAATCGTTTTTAATAATCGTGATATCAATTATTGACCAAAATAATCGTGATTATGATTTTTGCCATAATCGCACAGCCCTACCCCAGACACAAACTGTTCTTTCTGTTGCCGTCTGGCAGGCGTTACCGCAGCATCCTGGCAAAGACAAGAAGATTCGGAGACAGTTTCTTCCCGCGGGCAGTGAGACTGTTAAACAATTGAACTGCTGAAACAACTTCAAAACATTCATCTGCTACTCAGTAGTATGTATCTAATATCTATCATTCCAATAACTTGTATATAGACTCGTACTGCACTATTCCACATCATCACTTTATTTTATAACTATTTTTCTTTTTGTATTGCTCTTGCTCTCTGTATTGTTATTATGTTGCATTGTTGGAGAAGCCTGTGACATACGATTTTCAACAACATAATTACTCTGTAGCTATTTCAGTTTGACAATAAAGAACCTTGAACCTTGAACCTTTTGCCTTGATTGAAAGCAAGTATAAATACAGGAATTAGTTTGAAGTTGTTTGCCAGTTGTTATGGACAGTAAAACAAATGAAAACTGGAATGTTTTTTGTTGGTCATGCTCCTTTTTCATACAGCCTGTTCTGAAATGATACATCCCGTGAGTTTAATGAAAACTTTATTACGAGGGGAAGGTAAAACAGATTATCCGGGGACACGTTACTGCTTTCTGAGGGACATGGACTTCATCTGCAGGAAACCATATCCAAGAAACGGAAACGGCACCCCTACGCCTCATTTACAAACTACAGTACCCACATGAGCTCATTAAAACACACTTTTATAGGAATGCATTCCTTTCCTAAACATTGTTATTGAACTGATCCTGATCTCTTAATCTCAGAGAACAAAGAGCAGCATCAGGAGGAAAGACTGAAAGCCCATAACTGTGGGGGTTATGAGGCTCTGTAATAAAGTGGGCGTCCGTTTGACAAAACAAGCAGAGGCAGGAAATGAGGACAATACTTTTATAAACACGGAACTGTACTCAAAACACTGCATTCAACTCAGACTGTGATATCAGGCTTTCTGCCTCTGTGGGTCAAACTGAGCACTTCTTTATTCCAATTAAATTGAGTAGAGTAATTCTTTTAGAGTAATTCATTGCTAGACACATACTTATTTTTACCATAAGGCATTTTATAGTATAGCTTTTGTTCATAGATTTTTATGTATAGGCCTATTTGTGGGATAGCAAACAGTTATATTGATAATAAGTAATTAACTACTTTCCTCAATTACAATTTTGAGGTTCTTAACTTGAATATTTCCATTTTCTACTATCTAAATATCCGTGAAATACATTTTTTTTACCATTAAATGTATTCAATTCAGATTAAGAATTGAAGATATTATCAATGAATACATCATGATACGTCAGAAGTCTTTATACATCCTGTAATTTACCCTCAGGATCAGTAACAATATCCAAGGTAAATACAAGTGAATGAAAGCCTTCACCCTAAAACGATGAACCCATGAATGCACTATTATATACAGTATATTCCAAAATATATCATATAAACTATATTCTAAAATGGGTCATTTAGATAAAATGATTTTAAATACAAATACTTTACTTGCAAAAGAGTATATCTGTACTGCAGTATTGTTACTTTGATTTAAGTAAAATATTTAAGTATTTTTCCTCCACTGCTGATTTGAAGTTGATCCACAACCAAATCAAATGATGCTTTCTATGTAAAATAACTGATGGACAGAACAGCAACATGTCAGGCGCTGTCGTTGTTTTATTGTGAAGCTGCTCCCCTTTTCATAGAACATCCCATCTGGAGCCATTTAGTCCAGTAATATTAATAAACAAAGGAAATCTGATTCCACGGGATAAAATGAATCCAGATGGCCCCCAGCAACGAAGCGATCGCAGCAACGTGAAACCTCACGAAACAAAACGTTTATATTTAGAGAGTGAGCCGCTGGGGATCATGTGTCTGAGGTCAGATCTGAGATACCCTCTGAGGTCAGGAGACAATGTGAACTACAGCAGAAAACACTAAAGTTTGAGTCAGTGGTGTAAAAATATACCGTGAGATATGTCGCTAAATATTACTGATTATTGCATCTTGAGCTGGGCGCGGCGGGTCTGTCAAGTTTTGAGTATATGAGGTTGTAGTAAGAGAAACTCAACGGTTGTGTCTCTTGTTAATGTTTAAATTGGATTAAACATTGATTATGTTCGGCTCTTATGTAAGCCGGTTTTCCTACTTTCCAGCGTGCCCGTAGTATTTAAATAGTATTTATCCAAAGCCCAAGAAGAAACATCAACAGCTAACGAAATAACTTTGTCAGGTTGAGTTAGAAAAAGCATGTCAACAGTAACTTAAGATATTGAACTTACTATTCATCGCTGAACACAAATGATACTGGATTCTAATGATAAGTTATTTAGAAAGTAAACAAACCACTATACTCTTTGTGTTACTGCACCTTTACCATCCGTGTTTATTCATGGGAGACTTTGTACAATTCATTGTGACCTATTGAAAAACTACCTCTGGAACATTTTATAAAAAGTAGTTCACATGCAGCTGCTTTAAGTTGGAAGACACAGTTATTATATTGAGTTTATTTGACACAAAATGTCAAAGATTGTTTCGAGATATTAACTTCTGTCCTGTTGACAAACGTCTCCCTGCAGCGGTCCACAAAACTGCTGCTGAGTCAGGGATGATTTTCAGATTATTTTAAGACGAGTGACAGGAAGTGACTCAGTTAAAACCGGTGTTACTAACATTAAAGGTATTTCCCTTCACTGTCGAAAGCCGATGATGAAGCACTTCATTCAGGTTTCCTGCTGGAATAAACCCCCCAGCATGTTGACCTCACACTGAAATCAAAACTGAATCAAAACTAAAGTGTCAAAGGAGAAAAAGTCCCAATAAACCCAAGTCTTCTCAGCCGGTCATGTGACACCGTTTGGGAACCCTAGGGTGTTTCTCAATCGCGAGTAAAGCTGCTTCAGAGCCACTATTTCAAGCATACTACGTCATCGAGTGCCGCCGAAGGACTGTTCCAATCTCCAGCATACTTGGAAATCTACCGAGCCCGGCGTACTCCGTTTGGAGAAATATCGAGGCTGCACATGAGTAGACTCTGCGGTCTTAAAATCCCCACAATGCTTTGCGCACGGACCAATTTCCCCAAATCTGTGGCGGAAGATGTAAGGCGGGGCCTCTCATATGACGCACACCTGCACACTTGCTAGCGTGTTCCTCTCTTTGTTTTCCGAATGCCAGGAAGTATTCTTGACTCGCTTCTGAAGCAAGATGCTCGGCAGACATGTGCTACCAAGCAAGCGTACTCGCGATTGAGAAACACCCCTAATGTCTCTTAAAGCGTCTCCCAGCATGCACCAGGGCCAAATCTAGTTGTTCATCATCACTGGTACTCCCCCTGCTCTGGATGAAGCACAGCTGTCTAAAAATAACCGCCCAAACAATAGGACAAATTCTCCCTTTAAGCGTTACGCAGACAATGGTTTCAGAAGCAGCCTATAGTGATCAAGGCGTTGGGAGTTTCAATCTAATGACAAAGGAAGTCTGTTTTTTATAGCAGAGGGGGTATTTTGAGGGGTCTTTTCCTGCTGTAGGTGCCGGTTGATTGACAGTATTTAGGGTGTAACAATAAACTTAAATATCTTACGTTCATGTCGCAGAAGGAGCCCAGGATGTTGCTTTCATGAGCAGATATGTCCTGAAGGAAAGAAACAGAGACAGTGAGATCAAAGATATGTGTTGTCCTCAAGAAGGTTAATTCGTTTAAAGCGCAGTTCTGTTCATGAGGTTTATCAATTACTATTATTATCAAGTCACAGTCATCTCATCAGAAATGTTTACTATGCATCTTGTCTGTGGTTGTATTGTGATGTGATTTTGTTTTTCTTGTTACAGTCTTGCCGGACCCCATTTGAAAAGGAGATGGTTCTTCTCAAGGGGTTTATCCTAAATGTATACAATTCAGTTCATATCTGTGTCAGCACTTGTCAGGCTGTACCTTGCAGGCGTAGTGGTGTGTGTGTTATGTGTGTGTGATAAGGGACTCCTCCTCACCTCTATAGTGGTGTGTGTGTTATGTGTGTGTGATACAGGACTCCTCCTCACCTCTATAGTGGGGTGTGTGTGTTGTGTGTGTGTGATACGGGACTCCTCCTCACCTCTATAGTGGGGTGTGTGTTGTGTTTGTAGGCGGTGTAGAGGGGGAACTGGATTTGGAAGATCTTGGCGGCACACAGCAGCAGTTTCTCCCTCTCCTCTGTGCTCCAGGAGCTGAATGGATCCTGGATATCACTGCTACTGCTACCTCCAACTCCTCCATCAGCTCCTCCATCAGCTCCTCCATCAGCTCCTCCATCACCTCCCCCAGCAGCACTGCCACTCTCCCCAGGCCCCAGTGCTTCCATCTGGGCTTCACACGGCTGGCTGGGCCCCTGACCCTGGATCTTATTCTGATTCTGGTCAGATGTTTCGGCGTCTTCTTCTGCAGAGTCTCTCTCCACGTTCACGGGTTCATCTTCACCCGGTGAGGAGGGCTGAGGGAGGGGTCCGGGTGCAGCCTCGCTCCATTCAGACCCCCCCTCCGCCCCACACAGGCCTCCTTTATGTGTTTGATCCTGGACGCAGCAGAGGCGGTCTCTCAGGCTGCTGATCTGAGCGATGACCAGGTTGATGAGGGCGTACACCAGCTGGTTGAACACCTCCAGGTGCTTGTACTCCTTGAAGCAGCAGAGGCATTGTCTGAAGACACAACACAGAGACACAGGAGGCGTTAAAGAGGATTGAAACATGACACGGAGCTTTATTCTGAGGCCAGTCACTTCAGGATCTCACTGAATGTTACTGTAACTTATAGCTGCACCCTGTTTTGGTTGTTTTGGGTTTTTTTATGCACCTTTAAAAAGGTCCCCTATAATACTGTTTTTCATTACTTTTTTATAGGTCTCAGATATATACAGAGCCTGTCTCTGATTGGCTGAAACACCAAACAGATCATTGCAGCATCCCATAATCCCCTCTGTTTCAGCCCTGTTTCCAAAGTGCTGATTCTCTGTCTGTTACTTTAGATGAAAATAAGGAGCCCCTCCCCACGCCCCTCTGAGAGATATTTGGTTACAAAGAACACAATGGTGCTCTAGGAGGAGATTCAGGTGATAAGGTGGGGGGGGGTTACCTTGGTTGGTGATTGGCTAATGGTTACTCAAGCCAAGACATCGTTATGACATCATAAAGTGGCCAAAATCTGATCAGCTCATTTTCAGACAGGTTTTTATGGATCAGGACAAAAAGAGAGAGAATCTTTGTTCCTGAAACTTTCAGAGTCTCTTTACACAGAGGGGACACATGTTGATGTAGAAGAGACATGAAGAAGAGGGGACACATGTTGATGTAGAAGAGACATGAAGAAGAGGGGACACATGTTGATGTAGAAGAGACATGAAGAAGAGGGGACACATGTTGATGTAGAAGAGACATGAAGAAGAGGGGACACATGGTGATTGTAGAAGAGACATGAAGAAGAGGGACACATGGTGATGTAGAAGAGACATGAAGAAGAGGGGACACATGGTGATGTAGAAGAGACATGAAGAAGAGGGGACACATGTTGATGTAGAAGAGACATGAAGAAGAGGGGACACATGTTGATGTAGAAGAGACATGAAGAAGAGGGGACACATGTTGATGTAGAAGAGACATGAAGAAGAGGGGACACATGTTGATGTAGAAGAGACATGAAGAAGAGGGGACACATGTTGATGTAGAAGAGACATGAAGAAGAGGGGACACATGTTGATGTAGAAGAGACATGAAGAAGAGGGGACACATGTTGATGTAGAAGAGACATGAAGAAGAGGGGACACATGGTGATGTAGAAGAGACATGAAGAAGAGGGGACACATGTTGATTGTAGAAGAGACATGAAGAAGAGGGGACACATGTTGATGTAGAAGAGACATGAAGAAGAGGGGACACATGTTGATGTAGAAGAGGACATGAAGAAGAGGGGGGACACATGTTTGATGTAGAAGAGACAGAAGGAAGAGGGGACCACATGTTGGATGTAGAAGAGACATGGAAGAAGAGGGGACAACATGTTGATGTAAGAAGAGACATGAAGAAGAGGGACACATGTTGATGTAGAAGAGACATGAAGAAGAGGGGGACACATGTTGATGAGAAGAGACATGAAGAGACGAGGGGACCACATGTTGATGTAGAAGAGACATGAAGAAGAGGGGACACATGTTTGATTGTAGAAGACATGAAGAAGAGGGGGACACATGTTGATGTAGAAGAGAATGAAGAAGGGGGACACATGTTGATGAGAAAGGACATGAAGAAGAGGGGACACATGTTGATGTAGAAGAGACATGAAGAAAGAGGGGACACATGTTGATGTAGAAGAGAACATGAAGAAGAGGGGACACATGTTGATGTAGAAGAGACATGAAGAAGAGGGGACACATGTTGATGTAGAAGAGACATGAAGAAGAGGGGACACATGTTGATGTAGAAGAGACATGCGTTGTCTGAGATGTCACTGACCTCTGTGTCCAGGAGCTGATGTATCCCAGCACTCGCAGGGCATGTTCCTTCTTTAGCTGGAAGCCTCCTTCACTGCCGTCTGCATCCGATACTGAGGAGAGAGGAGAGAGAAATATCTGTCAAGGAGCAGCTTGATACATCATATGTTAGATCGAATGCAGACCTAATTTATCTTCTTCCAAGTAACCTGTTTCTTTAATTTGAGATGTATTGAGATTAGATTAATAACAGAAGAACAACAAACAATGTAATATCTGGATGAATCAAAAAGGACGGCAATTGGACACAACTTCAAGTAGTATGTCCAATTGGTTTCCATGATTTGTTTGATAGTGTTACATATACTGAAACGAGTAGAATAATTATTATCACATGTTTATTCTCAAATATTGCCCATCCGATAAACCTTAATCAGATTGGCTTCGGTCTAAAGTTCCTCTTATTGTATTCCTCTACAAAGATCCACATCAGTCACGCCCAGTTTAGAGGAATCAGGTGTCTCCGCTGAATCGCTGACCTCAATTAGACGGCAAAGACACACAGGACACCAAAAACTGCAACAATAAAACTCAATCAGCCATCTCAACCGTTCATTCAACGTTTCTCGTCACTGAAACTGAACCAGAGCCCTTTCAGCTCCACATGTGAACAGAAGCTCCTCTGAGGCCGCAGAACAGAAGCGGACTTCCACTCTCTGGGAAATTGGCCCGGGAGATTTGGCCGTTTTTCCTGCAGCCTTTAATGATGATGTTGTCTGGGAAAAGGCACACAGGTGCCAGCATTACATCCAGTTAATGGCTGCATCTCAGAGTGGATATAAAGAGGGGGAGGACACCTGCACTGTGACTGGAACGCTCAGCCAGACTGGAGGCGTTTAAACATGGCCGCTGCAGCTGGGACACCATAAGTACAGTTCAGATGAAGTGTGTTTGTGACAGCCAACAGAGGCTGAGTGAGAAACATCGTACGCTCTAAATATGTGGAAAAGGATACTCTTTGATAGACGCAACTCTGCTCTTCTGTGTTTCCCACTTTAAGGAGAACAGCAGAGATAAAGGGCTTTGTAATATTTCCTAACAAAGCAACTGGATTTTGTAATTAGATTTACTGGATTAGGGATCTCTGGCACAACAACCCACCTCTGAGGTGCATCGAGAAGGGAACATTTTTAACCCTTTCAGTGTAAGAACAACGCTATTGTCAGACTGACGGCAACACAAGCCAATCAACAGCGAGGACATCAACCAAAATGCAATCTACATAACATGAGCGACGCCTATACAGACGTGTTGGCATCTCAAGGTTGATTTGCTCTAAACTCCACACTTCATCTGTGCAGACAGTAAACACAGCAACATTGATATCCTGTCAGACACATTTAAAAACTCATTTTTAGATTCCATCTAGACAAAACTAGCATCTTCCCATCAATACAGAAAAAGACACTGATGAACTATTGTCAACATTTCACGCTTACTGTATAAGCTAAGAAGCCGAATGTATTATCTTATACGACATAACCTTGAAAGACACACATCTTTCAAAATACATTTTGTCGAATTAAAGCGGCCCTATTATCCTTTTTTGAGTTTTCTCTTTCTTGTCCGAAACCTATATTTAAACTATATTTCCTTTCAATTTTCATAAATTACCTCACCAGACTAATAAGGACACTCGTTCGACATACAACTGAACAATGATCATATCAGTCTTGATCATCAGGTACCAATTATTAATTTAAGTGCCAAAAATGGTGAAGATTAAGTAACGTTTTTGTTTAAGTGTGTATGGAAATGCTTTTTGAATGCAACAATCTATATAATAAGACATGCAGATGTGATTATGCAGGATGCTACGTAAACAAAATGGTCTGGTCGACACAAGTAGGTCAGGTGTGCGTCTGCAAAATAAATTAAACTTCATGAAAAGGTTAATCAGAATCTCTCGTCTGATTCACAATCCATTCTGTGTGAATAAAGCTCTCTGCTAGGGATGCATGGTATGGATTTAGTTTTTCTATAAATACAGATTATCGATAATAATCAGCTTCTCACGGTCGACACCGATAACCACTCATTTAACATTTTAGTATTTAAAAAAAGTCACAAAAGTATTATGATTCTCCCAATGATACATATTTTCCTTTTTCGCCTTGTCTTACAAACACTCTACAGATATTCAATCCACACACAGAACACAGGAAAGAAGCAAATCCTTGCATTTTTTTAAAGTGTGTGTCCCGGCCCTGAGTCAGGACACACCGCACTGTTGTAAAAGAGGCTTCTGTCTCTTACAAAAACACACAAACACACATGCTGCGGCAGCAAATCGGAGGTCACAGGTCGCCTGCACACCCAACACATGGAGCTGCCAGTCTTGTAGACAGAGCTGTCACAGCTGACAGCCCCCCCACTGCTGACCCCCCCCCCCCCAAAAAAATCCCCAAATCCCCAGCTAGTATGAGAGAAGCTGTAAAGGCTCAACAGGTTTACAGATTTTAAAAACGCACATGAGGCAGATTTCTTCTTTTGAGTTAGAATCAAACCACAGAATACTCAACAAGTGTTTGACCAAGCTTTTTAAATGCAAATGTGTTGCTGAAAGTTATTGTAAACTAAATCTCTTTAGTGCAGTGAGGTGAAACAGTTTGTTCAGTGTCAGCACAGAGAAAACGTTAACCTTTATCGGATCCTCAAATATGAGAGTCTGAAAACACAAGAGTTCCAACAAAAAAAAACTCATTCATACTTCAATCTGTTTACATAACTATGATGTTGCTTGTAGGACTTGGTGATAATAAACCTACCTATTTTTGTACTTAGTAAAATATATTTAAAACACTAAGTTTCAAACCTGCCGCCGAGTACTGAATGGGAGCTTTAAATGCATTTGAACATTTTCACTTTCACTTTTAAACACATTTTGACCAGTTTCTAAACTTTATTTGATGTGAAAAGTCACATAAGATGATCTGTCTTGTTACTTGAGTTCAAAGGGAGCTGTGTGTACTGTCAGCAAAGTGCACCGCAAACTTGTTACAACACAAAAGCACGACATATTCATTCATGTATCCGTTTACAATACATATATTGTAGAGTTTTTATGTTAAAGGTAGGGCTTGATATTGAACCAAAACACTGAGTATCTAAAGCTGTCACGGCAAAAAGGGTAAGATTGTATTTTTACTCTTGATCAAAAAGTTCCTAAATTGATATTCTGATGTTTACATTTCTCATGGTAGAGTACTGAAATAAATATTGTTTGGTATTACATATCAGGTAAGGTGTTGTACGGTTAAATAAATTCTAAACTCTAACGCTGAAATGTGAAAACTGTGTCTTCTTCAAAGCAATTCAGTCGCCAAGACAACCTGCATTTTGTCCACACAATGACCTCTGGCATGCAGGTGAATAAAGGTGAAAATGCAATCCAATGTTTGACCTTCTATCACCAAGCAACACATCCTCTGTGATAAACATGAACTGGACAACCTGATGTGAGGTTTGGAAAAAATATACACCATATTAGAGAACAGTCCTCTGGTCCCTATATTGTGTTGTATTCCCCACATTTCACAAAAACACAAGCAGTGAATGCACACAACGCTGAATCTGAACCTGTATTCACACTAACAGCTAAGTGACAGGTCATATGGCAGCCAAACATCCAATACCAGAAGGTCAAATATATTTAAAACTAACAACCAGCCCAATAATCCCAGGTATAATTCACCTAGTGTAATCTTTGTATTTAGGGATTCATTAAAACTATATATGAACACATATGGCCAAAGCTATGTGCTTTCAATTTAGATAAATCCTAATACGACAGCACACAGTTATATTTAAGACAATAGTGTTTTCTAGCTTGGTGTCAAAGGTCTCTTTCCTTTTGACAATGTCTCCATACACTAGAAAGCAGCTCCAAAAAATCAATGGTTTTCCTAGATTTCTGTGAAAGGACTGTCCTGCACAAAGCTCCGATTTCAACCCCATCGAACACCTGTGGGATGAACTAGAACAACTGCAGCTAACATCAGTGGCCGACATCAGAGATGACATATTCAGACCCACATGTCTGCCGACTTTGGTGACCAACCCTCTCCATAAATAAAGGGAAATGAATGACCTTAAATCGTTTTTTGATGGACTCCCGGACAAGAGAGCTCTAAAAAAAGACAAATAGAAAGTGTGCGGGCCTTGGCAAAACAGACTTCACTTGTATTTGATAATTATGTAATGTATTTCTGTGTAATTGTATAGTTTAGAAATGTTATAGCATTTAACTATACTGCGAATTTGAGACTGCTAAGAATGAAAACCAGATATCTGTCTGCATGTTAACGTTAAAAGGTCAAACACGGTTTAAGGCATGTCAGTAGAACCATGTCATGTGTGCATCTCCTGTATGAACGTTTTTTTAGGCTATTCTTGCAGAATAAGAGCAAAATCCCAGGACTTCTTAAGTCAAAAGTATTAAAAGATAAGAGTCTGTAATAGCAGCAAAATTATAACCGTGAGCCTTAAGACGATATGTCAATAATCTAGTAGCACAGGTGTCTAACATGTTGGGTGTCCACAGACTTTTAACCAATAGCTGTACAATAAGGATTCAATATCATTACCATAACAGGTGGCCACCACTCGTTCCCTCCATTAGTTTTGTTCTATACACTAATTTGCAGGATATAATGGGGAGTATCATTTGGTGATTGCATTAGTGAGCCTATGCTACTTTTGTTCCCAGTCTTGCACAGACCCCTGAAAGTGCAGCAAGGCCTGGTTAGCATGACTGGATTCATTGCTAACTTGTAGCTAGAGGGGCTATAAAGGTCAAACACAGGTTTAAGGCATGTCAGAAGAACCATATCATGTATGCATCTCCTGTTTCAGTTTTTGTTACTCTTGTTGCAAAATCCCTGAGCTTATAAACTCTTATAAAAAGTCTTAAACAATAGGAGGATGTGATAGCAGCAAAATAATAACAATGGGTATACAAATACATGTTTAACAAGTAGCATAGGTGTCTTTTATGTTAGGTGTCGACTCGATTTTAACCATTAACTGTACAATAAGGATTCAATTCCTTTACAATAACAGGTGGCCAACAACTCATTCTCTCAATTAGATGTGTGTATACACTCAGTCCCTAAATGCTAATGTCGATTGCTTGTCTTACATACATTTGCTGGATAGTATTGGGGGTATTGCATTAGTCAGCCCATGCTACAGTCAGGTGCATGATTGTCTGTTAAAGTGGAGCCTGCAGGAGGAGCTTTTCACATGACACACACAATAGGCTGCACACACACACACACTTGCAGGAAAACGACAAATAAACCGTCAATCGCTGCACAGTAACAGATTTTCAAATAGTGCTATGACAGAAAAAAGCTTTTGTTCCAGATCTTGCACAGACCCCTGAAAGTGCAGCAAGGCCCGGTTAGCACGCCTGGACTAACGGCTAACTTGTAGCTATAAAGACAACCTTGTATTTACATTGGCATGCTTTAGTTGACCGTGTTTATGAGGGGGCTTCTTTGCAAAATCAATTTAACCACCAAAACCAGCAATTAAGTGAAGCTGATGTGCACACGACATCGGCCTGAAAAACATACACAACCAAGGATTAACGATGTGCCAAAAATATGCGCCTCGTTGCAGCCATTAATTTTCTGGGCTAGCTTTTTCTGCCGTTAGCTTAGATTAATAATTCATTGACTCGCCAAAAAAACACTCAAGAAATTCAAAACAACATGTTCGTGTCAGGAATATTAACAAAGTGTGTGTGTATGGAAAGTTAGCACGGCGTTTTTGAATTATTGTGAAGCATCTGTGAAACAATGGAGTGGACAGCTAGCAGACTGACCTGACAAACACATCAAACAAAGTCAGGCTTACTCGCTTTAGCTAAACTATGCTAACTCTGCTAACTTCCAAAAAAACCCGTGCAAGCATAAATGTAGCAGTATTTAGCATAATTAAAAACACACTCATGTGCACTGTGTTCAACTGTGCTGAAGTATTTTAAGTCATGGCTGTAATGTCACGTAAAAAAAAACATTGAGGTGATGTAATTTTGAGTCAATTTTTGGGCAGCTCAGCTTAGTGTGAGTTTCTGAGTGTTTGACAGACAGGCCCCAAAACTGCCAATTTGGTAAGGGGAAAAAATGGCATTCATATCAAAACCGAGACAGTCTGACACTAAGACACAACTGTCATCGAGTGCAGAACATGAAGAGATATTTCAATTCCTTCCACTTGTCTTGTGGATGCACAGTCTGCATGTAAAGCCGAGTTATAAACACGAAAACACACAAAGTTATATTTAGCTAGCCAGCATGCTAACAGCAAGCTCCAGTGGACAGCGATGCTAACAGCAAGCAGCTAGCTCAGCATCGTCTGGTGTAAATAATAAAAATGATTTCTCTCACTTACTTTCATTTAAAACCTCCACCAGCTCGGCGCAGTTTTCACACATTGTTCATCAAGGGGAGAACCACTGAGTCACACCATTGCACTGGAAGCTGTTGTTGCTGGCTGGTTGTTTTTGGGGATAAAAAAGGCCCAGTGGAGGGAGTGATTGGTGAAGGTTATCCCACTGAATGAGAGCAGGGGAAGGTGGAGAACGGGATTTGCATCCAAGCGACAGTTGATGTATACACCAAAAGTTAAAGAGACACTAAAAAGGTAGAAATCGAGTCAGTGTCCAATCTGAGCGTTACTTGAGAGAGTAGACACAGCAGCCATGATGAAAAGGGAGGGGAGGGAGGGGGCGACACACAGTGGAGATCGTTCGGGAGTTTCCGTGCTGTCTCCTTCACCCGTTCGTGTTTCTTCGTAAGTCTCGCGATATCTTTCCAATGATGAAGCGCATCCATAGATAGTACATAAATATGTAAGGCACATCTTTACGGAAAGCTTTATCTATACCTCTTCAATTCGTTTTTTTGTATATCTTTGTAGTAAATGTAAAGTTCTACTGTTAAAAAATTAAGGTTTAAGTCAATTTATAAAAAAAATATATTAACTTTTTTTTGGGAGGGAGTGATTGGTGAATGTTATCCCACTGAATGAGAGCAGAGGAAGGTGGAGAACGGGATTTGCATCCAAACGATAGTTTATGTTCACAACTACAGTTAAACAGACACTGAAAAGGTAGAAATCGAGTCAGTGTCCAATCCGAGAGTTACTTGAGAGAGTAGACACAGCAGCCATGATGAAAAATGAGGAGGGGGGGGGGGGGGGGGGGGAGGGGGGGCGACACCCATGGATGTTTTATAAGGGCGAAACACAGTGGAGATCGTTCGGGAGTTTCCGTACTGTCTCCTTCACCCGTTCGTGTTTATTCGGAAGTCTCGCGATATCTTCCCAATGATGAAGCGAATCCATAACATGTAGTCATTTACAAATCTTTAAGGCACCTATTTTCAGTCAACAACATTGAATGATGCAAATACAGTTTAGATTAATTAAAACTTTAAAAACAAATAAATAAGTCAAATAATGGGAAAAGTGTCGAATGATTTTCTTTATGTTAATAAAAGGTAAATATATATAAGCCACATTGTCTAACTCCCAAGGGCAACTGCGGTTTATTTTTATATTTGTATCAATTTTTTTTATCAACTTTTTCAGTTAACAAAATCTAGGTTCAACTCAATCTTTTTTCAAAAGACTTTTGCAAAGTTTAATTTGGATCCCTTTCTCCTTACATTTTAAAATGTAAATGTGTTTGAGTAAGTCAAAGTCAAAGTCAACTTTATTGTCAATCTCAAAATATGTTTGTACAGACAGAAAGATCGAAATACTGTTCCCCACAGTCCCGAGGTATAAAAAACACACCTCAAGACCTCACTTTCATGTTTTCAAGTAATACATTAAGCTATATATTAAGGCAGTAACTTTAGCAAAGAGAGCTACTATAACTGAGACGGTGCTCAGTTTAATACTATTACTTTTATTATTTATGTTAACCCCCGGCATTTTAAAAGTTACTAGTATAGGAATACTCTGTTAAAGTGCAGTTTAAGTCCTGCATTTAAAATCTTACTGAAGTAAAAGTATTGGCATCAAAATACACTTAAAAGTACCTTAGTACACAGTGCAGCTGGTAAAGGTGGAGCTCATTTTAATAACTTGGTTGTGGTATTTTTTGTAGGTAATGCAAGCATTCAAACATATGTAGTCAAGTAGAAACAAATATATATACATTTACCTATAAGATGTAGTGGAGTAGAAGTATTAAATAACAAAAATGGAAATGTTAAAATAAAAGGTGCTCTAATAATACTAACGAACAGTACTTAAGGAAGTGTATAGTTACTTTCCTCCTTTGGTAATGAGCAGTAACTTATTTTGTCACTTATTCCCAAATAATTCTGATTCAAAGACCTGTTTTACAGATATATCGTCGTGCTACAGGCAATTATCATAGATCTGACGCAACCCATACATGTGCATTATTATGTACACAAAGATATTTATTATGCTATGCTAATTGAATTATTTCCTGCACTTAATCTTTGTTATTTTATGTATGAATGGATGGAGACGTGTGGCGCAGTGGACTAGTGCATAGGTGTTCGGATCAGGGGGGCACAGGTTCAAACCCCACTGCAGTCAGCATGTCGTTGTGTCCCTGGGCAAGACACTTCACCCCAAATTGCTCCTGTGGGGCTTGCCCACAGTATTGAGTATGTAAGTAGCTTTGGATAAAAGCGTCTAACAAGTGACATGTAATGTAATGTAGCCTACTTTGATGAATGCTGCATGTCTTTGTTGAATGTTGTCTTTTCTGAATGTTGTCTTTTCTGAATGTTTTGATGGCACTTTAAAAAGGAGCCGCTTTACTCTTCTCGTTGTATAATGACAATAAATGCTTCTATTCAATTACTGTAATGCAATAATTGTATATTAGTCAGGGTACATGCAGGAATCCTGAAGTCAAATGTAATACATGTTAAGACCTTTTTTAAGACCCTTTCCATACATTTTAAGACCTCATCGCTACTTTGAGTTCTAACCGGTTACATTGGCGACACACTTTACCTCACATTGACTATATACAGTATTGATTGTCCTTCCTCCTTATCTTCCAACCATTTGGACGCAAACTTGCATTTCCCCATAACGATGTTTAACAACCGGCGTAAACGAACCTTCGCGCGCTATCAAGCAGTGAGCGTGCGATGTCCTGTTCAGATGACGTCAAATCCAACGGGATGCCATAAATAAACTACACAGAATCACACTACACACCTACGCAATGATTACATTCAGGCAGACTGTAGAATACAACCTCTTTGGACAATTTATATACTTATTGAAAACAAGTTACACAATGTAATACCTTGGAAAATGCCGTTTAATACTTTTTAAATTGATTTATCAAATTTTAATACTTTTTAAGACTCCGCGGACACCCTGTTAGTAACATCTGTATTTAACAAGTAGTTTAGTGTCGAACTGGGAACAAATATCTGATGTATAAAAGGTCTGTTTAACTGTGGTCAGGTGTGACTCCTCTGTAATGCCAGAGTTTGGGAACCATTTCCTCTAAAAAAAGGTAAATATATTCATCACCAGCCAAGCTGAGTCAGTTTCCAGAGATTTAAGAATAAACATCATTTGCAATAACCCTTCAGATCCTGGCAGCACGAGTTGTGACATTCCTCCAAGTTTTCCATAAAGTCCAGAGCTTTGGGAAATAAGAAATCAGACGCGTTTTTTTTTTTTGTAAAAATAGCCAACTTTATATTCTCAGAGTACTAAGACAGCTTTACAAACAGGATGATATGCACGCAGCCTTCCTTCTCATCCAAACGCAGAGCGGTCCAACTGAAGCTCCGACTCGATCAGAGCCAGAGTATAAGAAGAAAAAAAACGATAAACACACTGACAAACCAAAACAAGACAACAAAGGAAGCAAGGAAGTCAACGTTTACTCCTTGAGCATCACATTCGTCCTGTACCATGCACATGGCACTTCAGAGCAATCTGTCATCTAACCATCGCAAGTGTTCCAACATTATATATTACATATTAACAAAAAGGAGAGGAGGTGAGTTGAGGTGGTGAAGAGGGAGTTAAAATAACCTTACATTCTTTCAACTTCATGCAGGTGTAGAAGAACCGTAATGGCCAAACATAAAGCTTTAATGAGCAAAAGAATTAGCAAAAGATGGCATGTTACACACAAAAAAAAATCTTTGTATAAAATAAGTTTGTAGGAAAAAGAAAAGAATCCGCGCCGGGGTTAAGAGGAGGGGGTCAGGGGGGGACGAGTCTCATTTACATATTGACATTGATTTGGTCGACGTACAACCGAGTGCTGGGGTCCTTCCTCTGGCCCCTCATTCTCTTTTTCAAACACACACACACACTCGCACACAAACACACTTGAAAAGAAAACTATCAACAGGAAGCGTCCGTGCTCTCTTGTGACTCTTTTCCCCGTCCAGAGCTGTTTCTGTTCACGCTGCTGCAGCTGCTGCTCAGTCGCACATCTCCTCTGGGATCTCGTGAGGGTTGAGGATGCCGGGCACAGACATCTGCAGCTTGTGTTTCTCCTCCTGGGCCTGGCGCAGAGACGTTTCCCTCTCCTCCAGGAACAGGTCTGTCGTGTCCTCGCCAGCAAACTCCTAACAGGACCACACAGGCAGAGGCTCAGCAGAGGCAACAGCACCGGGCTTTAGCTTTCAAACTGATACTTTCTCACAGAGAGAGAGCGCCAATACTTTTGTCTGCTTTCAAACATTAAAATAATCCTTGAACAGGTATCAACTTGTTCAAAACTGATTCTACTTAATGTATTAATGTGTTGGCATTTACAAACATACACAACTAGACAGGCGAAGTCCCTCCCTTTCCGGTGGACCTCCATGGGACCTTATTTCGACCGTATGTATTGAAGTCAATGGCGAGAGAAAGATTATATTTCGATCCCGTTTGAATTGAACCACGAATTACACATATGATGTTTGTCAATTTAAAAGATAATTTTACAAGTCAAAAAAAATAAAAATGTGTCGTAAAACTGTGAAGTAACACTTTTTTTTGTGTGAAACCGCTCAATGAACTACATCTCCCGTCTTGCACCACACACCCAGACGGCCGTCACGTTGGCACATTTCACTTCTTTCTTTCAGAATGAGGCGAAAAGTATTAAAAGAGGTGAAAATCACTCCAAGTCTGGGCATGTTGAGAGCTGTACATACACACAAGGGGAGTTAGTCGGTTCATAAGAGCCAGCATGCGGGACCGGGACTCTGGGATTTGTAGTCTTTCTAGTTGCGTATTTTTCATAGTCTTATATATTTCAACAGTTTTACGACAAACTTTTTTGACATGGAAATGATTTTTTAAGATTGACAAACATCATTTGTGTAATTCATGGCACAATTCAAACGGGATCGAAATATACGTTTTCTCTCCCCATTGACTTCAATACATTATTTTTCCGAAATAATGGTGGTCACCGGAAAGGGAGGGACTTCGCCTCTCTATAGTGATGTCCCTGGGCTTCTATAAATCGGGCCAAATAGCTGTTTTCTATTTATGTTTAGATTTTGATAGAACTTCAATTGAAGATGTTTCCTGATTTTACTTAATTCGACTCTTATCAATATGCTTTATTACTAAATACACAACACATAATTAAAGCTCTTTCAAGGCTCCTAAAGCAAAATCACCAGACACAAATTGTACTATATATGTAACTGGGTCAAAGTTAACAATAATTAACATAACTTTATTTTACACAGTTTAGATTCACTTGTCAGTTTACTTTATGGCACCATTTTGATGAATGACATCCCGTTTTCAGATGCAGGTATTAATCATTTACTCCAACACTCACTTTGATCTGCACGAGGAAGTCCCTCAGGTGCTCCTTGAAGGCGGGGATGTCCTGATTCAGGCTGAACAGACCCGTCACAAACACCTTCACCTGGGCGCTGAACACGAGAAACAATAATCAATTAGTCGCTTGTCTACAAACAGCACAGCATGAAGGAGGACGAAGTAACTGAAACAATAAATAAATTATTCAATAAATAATATGAACCCCATACAATAACCGCAATATAAAGAGCTGGGTTAATTGTTTAGTCTATAACAAGTCAGAGAATAGATAAAAAAAATACCATCCAAGTTTCTCAAAGTTCTTTGCATTCACTACCAGGGACCTACGAATATTCAGTTTAATACGATATCATAAAGGGAGAAAATAAATCACTTTAATGCTTAATTGATGAATAGCTATAGTAGATTATATTTCTATGAATCGACGTATCATTGCAGTTCTAGACTATAAAACACAAGTGCCATATTAACATGTGTTCATCATTTTGTTGAAGACATTCTCCGCCTTTTTATTCTGCAGAAATCAAAGTCTACTCGGTCAACGTTGAGGATGGAAATGGAGTTTGAAGTCACTTCTGCATCCTTTACTTTGAATAAGTGTTGCGTGCTTTGTGGTCTACTGAAGCTCAAGTGGCTGAAAACACCTCAAGTTAGGGCTGTGCAATTAAATCGTATTTTAATCGCAATTACGATTTTGGCCTGCCACAATTACGAAAACAACATAATCGAAAAAAACGATTATTTTGCTTTACTAGGTTGTGACAGTGCACTGCAACATATTTGATCAAATGTATTTGTATTAATCATATTTATTATGTTTAGTAGCTTGTTGAAGTGCGCTCTAAAATATTTGTTGATCTTGTTTATTGGTATTTATTATTTTTGATATTATTTATTTTAATGTATCATTTATTTTTGTATTGGTTTTTCAGTTGAATTATACGTTCAGGGTAATCAACAGTTAAAAAGATACTGTTCAAATTATTATTTGTATTTGTTTAAAAGTTCAATAAATGGATGTTTTCAAAGTCAATGAATAATCGTATTTAATAATCGTGATATCAATTATTGACCCAAATAATCGTGATTATGATTTTTGCCATAATCGCACAGCCCTACCTCAAGTCATTACATTTTTGATCTCAATGAACTTGTGAAAAGCTTATTTTCCGTGAAAAAGCTCTGAATATTTGGCAACAATAACCGAAGCACAGTCTTCTCATGTTGACTCACTTCTACAGCCTTCGCTTAAGTGGCTGAAAATATCTCACTTGTTATATTTCTGATCTAAATGCATTTGTGTAAAACCTTCCACTAAAATGCACTGGATCCATGGCAGACGTTAGGCAAAGCTCAGTCTGCTCATGTACTCTCCGTGTGGTGTGAGAGAGACTTACTCCTGCAGATGTGGGAAGGCGGTCTTCAGCAGGTTGGCGATGTACTCCTGCACGTGCGCCTGGTTGTTTGTGGGGCTGGAGGCGCTCAGAGCCACGCTGACCTTCCCCTCTTCCACCAGGTTGAACATGTAGGCCAGGATGGTGGCGTGCATCGTCAGCCCTAAAGACAGCAAGAGGATCACTTCAGTATTCATGTGGATAGTATGTTTAAGAAAATAGGGCTCTAAAATCTGGCAAAGAGGATAACTTCATTATTCATGTGGTTTTAATTTACATTATTTAATTTCATATTCTCTTCTTGTACATATCATATTCTATTTACATGTATTAAGACTTTTTGCACTACTTTTTAGTAGGAGCTCAGGTCAGAAGAATTTCATTGCCATTTCTACACTGTAGCTTTTTGCATATGACAATAAAACCTTTGAATCTTGGTTAGTATGTTTAACGAAATAGGTCTTTAAAATCTGAGAAAACCCACAGAGTAACAGCTGACACCGGAATCTATTTCACCAATAAAGTAATTAATGGAACGAGCAGCTCCACCACCAGAAAACAGGAACTTTAACCGATTGAACGCCTACATTGGTAAGTTCACTTGAATGCTTCATACCTCTAGAACCTAAACAACCTTACAGTCAGGGTACATACCTGCAGTGTGAGAGGTGTCGGTGACCACAGAGAAGATGTGCTGCAGGATGTCACAGAAGTACGTCTGGTAGAAGCTCTGCGCGGCCGCCTCCTCTCCGGAGACGTTCTGCAGGAGAGTGTACAGGATCTGGAGACCTGGGGATGAGATAAGGTAACATAGGATGAGTATAGATATAACTCTAATGTACAATGCCTTGTCTTTTTATGCTGCTGCAACGCAACAAATTCCCAAATTGGGATCAATAAAGTACTTCTTATCTTATAAAAATGTATTAATGTAATTAACCCCCGTAGGAAAATGCAGGTTTCTCAAATAAAATGTTTCAGCTGCAACTTAGGAGTTTCCCTTTGGTCTTTTTCAACTATACAAGTCTGATTCATCTATGCTCAATGTTTAAAAGATAGCAAATCAAGTAGGTTTCGTGTGGTTTGTTTACGAATCACAGGCTTCAATTTCTTATATTTCTATTAAAATAGTGAAATAATTTAGCTTGCTGAGAAAAAGCAGCGCTAAACTGACAAATCCAGCGTGTAGCCGAATTCATAAATCCACATTTTTATGGTTTCCACATTTGTGTGAACACTATATACACGAAGAGATGAGATGACTGACCTGTGTCGGCCACGTTCCTCATGGTGTGTTTGAAGGCCCAGATGATGGAGTCCAGGATGAGTTTAAACTGAGCCGGGGCGATGGAGAGGAAGGCGGGGAAACACTGCGAGGTGGCGGCTTGAAGAAGGTAGAAGAAGTGTGTTCTGTGTTCGGGGAACTCTTCAAAGTCCTGAAGGCACGGGAGGAAAAGCAAGACATTCATTATTATGGGAAATGGACTGTATGACCCCTCAAAGCTCTTTACATACCACATGTTATCCACACACACCACATGTTATCCACACACACCACATGTTATCCACACACACCACATGTTATCCACACACCACATGTTATCCACACACACCACATGTTATCCACACACACCACATGTTATCCACACACACCACATGTTATCCACACACACCACATGTTATCCACACACCACATGTTATCCACACACCACATGTTATCCACACACCACATGTTATCCACACACACCACATGTTATCCACACACACCACATGTTATCCACACACACCACATGTTATCCACACACCACATGTTATCCACACACCACATGTTATCCACACACCACATGTTATCCACACACACCACATGTTATCCACACACACCACATGTTATCCACACACACCACATGTTATCCACACACCACATGTTATCCACACACCACATGTTATCCACACACACACACGGTTAAGTATCTTAATCTACAGTTATCCGAAACACTTGATTTATTAACAAATTATTTAAACTAATGATCAGTCGCCCACTCTCAGATCGCCCAGTCTGATCAGGTGAGATTTAAGCAGGTCATGTTTTATTAAATCGCTCAAACCGACCTTGTTGATCATGTTCAAAGTGCACTCGAAGACAGCGTCGAAGATTTTGGGGATTTCTCCCGTCAGGTGGGATCCCAGCTTGTTGACGATGGTTGCCATGGTGCTGAGGACCTCAGGCTCCCGGGCGGCAGCGACGTTCCTCTGATAGTCGATGAGCACCGCCTCCAGCAGGGGGGGCACGAAGTTCTCTCCCACCTGGAGCACAGAAACAAACAGGAAGAGGCTTAAAAAGACTGTTTCTGGTCTAAGACGTATCTTTTTAAAAGTCTCCTATTATACTGTTTTTCATCAATATATTATAGGTCTCAGATATTTACAAAACATGTCTCTGAAGTGTTCGGCTCCAAACACCAAACAGATCATTGCAGCATCCCATAATCCCCTCTGTTTCAAAAGTGCTGATTCTCTGGGTGTTTCTCAATGTCGAGGACACTTCCTTGGTAGGAGAAGTCTTCTGAGTCAGGTCCTTCAGAGGCTAGGCAAGAATCCTTCCTGGCATTCGGAGAATGAAGACTGGAACAGGCTAGCAAGTGTGCGTCATATGAGAGGCCCCGCCTTCAATTTTCCGCCACAGATTTTGGAAATTGGTCCGTGCGCAAAGCATTGTGGGGATTTTAAGACCGCGGAGGATACACAACGAAGGACTCCGGACTCGGTAGAATTCCAAGGAGCCTGGACATTGGAATAGTCCTTCGGCGGGACTCGATGACGTAGCATCCTTGAAATAGTGGCTCTGGAGGACACTTCCTCGACATTAAGAAACACCCCGAGTCTGTTAGTTTAGATGAAAATAAGGAGCCCCTCCCCACGCCCCTCTGAGAGATATTTGGTTAAAAAGAACACAATGGTGCTCTAGGAGGAGATTCAGGTGATAAGGTGGGGGGGGGGGGTCAAAATCAAAATCTGATCAGCTCATTTTCAGACAGGTTTTTATATAAACGGATCAGGACGAAAAGTGAGCGATATTTTTCATCAGATTGTTTTTGTTACGAGAAGGAACTCTGAACATTTTCCACATTTGCTGAAGGAGCAACTCTCAATAAAACACACATTTAAAACGTTCCATGACAGGATCAACATGGAAAACTGAAGATAAGCCGACTCACCATCTGAGGGTCGTTGGAGCGACTGACCCAGCCTGAGATCAGCTTCAGAGTTTCTCTCTTCACCGTCCTCATGCTCCTGATCAGAGGCTGCTTGGTCACCATCTCGCCTGTACAACATGTTCAAAGAGAGTTATTCAGACATGCTTTAAAGGTCCTCTATTATACTGTTTTTCATTAATATGTTACAGGTCTCAGATATATACAGAACATGTCTCTGATTGGCTGAAACACCAAACAGATCATTGCAGCATCCCATAATCCCCTCTGTTTCAGCCCTGTTTCCAAAGTGCTGATTCTCTGTCTGTTACTTTAGATGAAAATAAGGAGCCCCTCCCCACGCCCCTCTGAGAGAGATTTGGTTACAAAGAACACAATGGTGCTCTAGGAGGAGATTCAGGTGATAAGGTGTGGGGGGGGGGGGGTTACCTTGGTTGCTGATTGGCTAATGGTTACACAAGCCAAGACATCGTTATGACATCATAAAGTGGCCAAAATCTGATCAGCTCATTTCCAACACATGTTGATGTAGAAAAGACATGAAAAAGTGGATTTTGTATAATAGGTGACCTTTAAAAGATGTATTAAGGGTAAGTTAAATATTATAATAAGAAATGTGCTTTTGGCTCGAGAATAAGAAACATTTCTTGGCGCAGCTCTACAATATATATTCAGTGCAGCCATCTGGAAAAGAGCCCGAGTCTTTCATCTGCAGGTCTCATGTTGGTTTAATTAAATCTTGTATTTATAAAAGCTTACAGACATCTTGCGTTTACAATAAATAACTTATTACCGCCTGCAACAGATGTGGCCAGTCCCCAGCAGACCTTGTACATATGTTTTGGTCATGTCCGAAGTTGACTTTTGGTCCAGAACATTTGATACATTACCAAAGGCTTACAATGTAGAAATAGATCCGAATCCCTTTCTGCTATTTTTGGTATCTCTGAAAGTGAGCATTATGTTTCTGCCCCTCTCTTATTCTGTAATTGTATATTTTGTACTTTTAATGGTCAATAAATTATATTAAAGAACTTCTTACCGTTGGTCTGGACAGCTGAGGAGATGTTCTCACTCAGACACTTGTAGACGTTGAGCATGTCCAGGTAGATCCGCCCCAGCTGCACGACGAACGGATGGCCCACGGCTTTACAGGCGCGCACGTTGGTCTTCAGGATGCTGCCCAGCTGACGCACCGTCTCCGCGTCCTTCAGGATGTCCACGTTCTGCAGAACAACGTTAGCAAGTTAGCATAAGTAGCTTCAGAATCAGAAATCCTTTTATTTGTCCCACAAAGGGGAAATGTACATTGTTACAGCAAAGTATAGATGGGGACGTAACAAGAAGAACATCATTATATAAAAAGGCATTCACATAGTATTTAAAATACATTTAAAAACAATTTTAAAAGCCTGTTATAAGTAGAATTTGAGTTCAAAATCTCATTTTGTTTAGTTCAGTTTTCAGAGTGAAGTTTTGCTTTTCATTTTTTATTGTACAAGATAAAACAGCTTGTGAATAACAAAGGCATCCATTGTAAAAAAAAAAAAAATGCTGTATAACTCCATCTTCTGAAACATGAAGGTCAAATGTCTGGTTTGTTGTCATGAGAGATGACGGAAATTCATGCTGTCTTTATTTTTCCAAAAGGATTTTTTAAAAGTGAGACTAAAAATAATAATGTGCAATTTTTATTTTCATTTGTTTTAATACCCAGGGAATATCATTTCAGTTTAGTTTTCATTCACTTATATATTTTTTATTTGGTTTCCGTTTACGATAGTATTTATGACTGCTTGTTTTCGTCTTTTAACAAAAACCCTGATAAGTAACACGAAATAAAGTAGTCTACATATCTACAGAGCATGTAGGACACATCAGTGGACTATAATGGACTATAATGGATTCCTCACCTTGGTGGCCTGCTGGATGATGCTGTCCCACACCTGGTTGGGGAGCAGCATGTACTTCTCGATCAGAAGCTCCTGAACCGCCTGGTCTGTCTGAGCGGCGATCATGTAGCCGACCGCCTCGTAAAACGTGTGCACCTGCAGAACGAGAAGCAGAGATCATTTCACAGACCATCAAAAGAAACATCTTATTGCAAACGTGTTCATATGTCACCGGAAAAGTCTTACAAATAATGATATAAGAAAACTCAAAACAATAATGAAAACTCTAATAGTCTCTTTGCTGATGGTACTGACCTGCTGCGGCTGCAGGTCGCAGATGATGGTGTTGATGTTGTTGAGGATCTCGTCGATGAAGGGCATCACCTCTCCAACCTGGACCTGAACAAAATGACGCCGGCACTTCTGGGCGATCTTGATGAAGGTGTCACACGCCATGTCCTGCACTCCATCGTGGGTCTCTGTGGGACGAGGAGGAAGATAAACACAGGGTTCATACACTTTTTCACCAATGCTTCTCAATGACTTCTCCATGACCTTTACCTAATTTTCCATGACCAAAAACATTACTCTTTCTCCGCGGTACCACTGAAAATGGTTTATTTGAACATGGAACAGGAAAATAAGGTCTGCATCTGAAACATGTTGTGCCTATCTAAAACAAATCAAATAGGCTTACTAGCTTCTACACGCTAAAGCAACTAAAATCTCTCACCAGCAAAATACCTCGTCAGTTAAATGTCATTTCACGTTTCATTACTATACGATACAGTATTTATTATCATTATAGTATTACTATTTCAGCGATTAGCTAAAATATAAATTATATTTGATGCAACTTTAGTCACATTTCCATGACTTTTCCAAAACTTTGGGAAAAATATTATTTTCCAAAACTTTTCCAGGGCCTGGAATTAGCATTTTGAATTTCCATGACTTTTCCAGGTTTTTAATGACCGTAAGAACCCTGTAAACAACACAGAATCAGGATGAGTTGAACTGTTACTGTAGGACTTTGAGAAAATACCAATTCTGATTATTTAGGTCTGTGTTAGGCTTCCTTTTTGGTTTGTAAAGTAGGGGTGTAGTAATATACCAGTATTGACAATAACCCGACATTTAAAAATGATAATACATAATAAAATATTCTGTTGGTAGATTGTTAGCCAGTATATTTAGCGCCTTTGTACGGTCCATTAGTATAGTATCATTTGACGCTTTTGAACAGTCATTTGGCTCATTTCACCTCTCATTAAACTTGTGTTTTGAGTGTAATTCATTTGTCAAAGGAGACGAATGAATAGGAAGATTTAATGGCGATTTTAATACGTTCTATAGATATTACAATAAAAATTGTTATTGCGAGTTCTTTTGGCCACTTTAGTTAGTGTAGTGAAAATCTGATATTGTAAAATGCCCTACTCTAAACGCATCAACGAGTAACCAGATTTAGATTTTAGACTTAAAGTTTCAATCGAGATGCTTACAAGACTTAAAAAAGCATTGAGAAAGATTAGTCTTCTTGTAAAGCAAAGGTTACAGACACTTCCTCCCTAACCTTTTAAGACTTCAAAAAGCAGTGCATTTTTTATTCAAGGATTCAGAGAAGGTTTTAAACAAAGAGATTGGATCTGATGTGTTTCTTTCTCACCGTGCATGAACTCAAACAGCTTGTTGACGACGGTCTTGAGGAACTTCCAGTGAGCTCGGAGGAAGCGAGGATACTGACCCACGATGTACATGATGTTCGACGCTATGATGGCCTTGTTGTCTTTCCCTCTTTTCTGCTCACACAACCCCAGCAGGTCCTGAGGGAGAACACACACACCGGTTAACATTTCTTACACACACACACACATTACTGCTGTGAGTATCGTTTTATTTTTTTAGGAGAAATAGGTAAGACATTTAGGATTGATTGAAATTAAAGCACACAGTTGAACTACAACGGAGACTCACTAGTTTCGGACAACATGACTAACTACGTTCTGCCTGTCGAGGGATACCGTTTAAATCAAATCAAACTTTATTTGTATAGCCCAATATCACAAAACACGTTTGTCTCAGTGGGCTTTACAGATTATAAACAAACAAAAAACAACATTGTATACGATGGAGTTACAGCAAAATGAGAAGACAAGACAGTGTGTGGAATACAAATAGAAATGACACAAAATAAAATACAACCAAAGACAATAAAAATACATAAAACATTCAAATTAATTACCATAAAAATGTAATTAAATGAATACCATAAAATGCCAGCTCTAACTGAAGGCTTTGTTAAAAATGTAGGTCTTCAACGCACTCTTAAAGGTTTGGACACGCTCTGCCTCTCTGCTTAAAACAGGAAGTTGGTTCCAGCCGATATATAATGTAATCTCGTCACCTTGATGACGGTGACCAGGAACCTCTTCTCGTCCTCCTCGTGCATCGCCCCGCTGATGGATCCGATGGCCCAGCAGAGCATGTTCAGGTTCCTCCACGACCACTCGGTGCCGTTCACCTGGTTGTGCAGCTTCTCCGTCATGATGCGTTCAGTGTCAGCGTAGTCCAGATGGGTCAGATACACTGCAGACACAAAGAGGGACGCGGATGAGTCGGAGGATACTTTTACAGGGTTTTTAAAGCTTTTTCAGAACAACATTTGAGATGTTTAATAATACATTTTATTTAAGGCGCCTTTTATGACACCCAAGGACACCGTACAATTTGTTAAATATTCTAAGAGGTAAAAGCAACAGAACATGATAAAAACACAAACATACCATCATGGAGAAGACAATTCAAGTGGACACAACTGATAGGGACAGGTTATTCAGGGGATTCAGGGACTCAAATAAAAGTGTGCACACTGAACGATATATCGTGTCGCAGGACGTGCGATTTAATTTTTTTTTTGCGATATTAAGTAAGCAAATTAACTCAAACAGGTCATGTTACAATTATTTTTGCTTCTTGCTACAAAAGGAAAACTCGCGCGGCTCTCATGTCAGGGGTACGTGAGTGACAGCAAACCACCAATCACAATCAAATCTCCAAAGCAAACGGACCCGGTGATTAAAGGTAAAAACACTGAATAAAGTAGTTTCATGTGTTTCAGTTCGGCGCTGCTAACCGAGCTAGCTCAGCTTGTTGTTCTGATAACTTAAGATCCAGACGTCCGTGACTAAAATCCTTCATCCGGTTAAATATAGTTAGAAAAATACCAATTGTATAGCATTAAAGTTCAAGAAAGGATGGTTTGCGGACAAAAAAAACTGTCTTTTCTTCAATTCCTGTATTTTTTTATATCACAATATCAGTTTTTTCCAATATCGTGCAGCCCTAGTGCACAATATCTTGTTTTTTTTATTACTGCACATATTCTATTTTAATGTAATTACTGCTATATTTTACTATATTTATTAATGTTATTATAGTATTCTTAAAATAGTTTTCTATCTGTGTTTTTAATTTTTTCTTTTCTTGTATGTCAAATTCCTCGTATGTGTCCACCTACCTGGTAATAAACCTGTTTCTGATTCTGAAAAGGTTACAATCAAACATTTCCCTACTCACTTTTACTCTGCACTAACTGGGAGATACATCAAGCTTCTCTGTGTTTTTAGCTGCTTAGCAAGACCACAGAATAATAGATTAAAACCGATCAGCGCCCTCATTTCCCCGTTAACTTCAGTGTAATTTCAACCTTTTTTACATGACTAAGACGAGCTAAAAATAGATTCTTGATAATAAAAACAATGACGAAATGTATATTTAGTTTTCGTTGACGAGACTAAGGTGTTAATGGTGGACTATCGGACATTCAAAATGCAGGGTCTTTTCCCCAATGGTCCGTCTTGTCTGTCAAAATGCATCCAACTTGCAATATCATTATTTCCGCTCTCTTCACTCCAGAAAAGCGATCTCTCTGTCTGTGTCTGTCTGTGTGCGGGGGGCGGGGCCTAACTCTCTCTGTGTCTGTCTGTGTCTGTCTGTGTCTGTCTGTGTGCGGGGGCGGGGCCTAACTCTCTCTCTCTCTGTGTCTGTGTGTGTGGGGGCGGGGCCTAACTCTCTCTCTCTCTGTCTGTGTGCAGGGGGCGGGGCCTAACTCTATCTGTGTGTGTTTGTGGGGGGGGGGCGGGGCTAACTCTCTCTCTGTGTGCAGGGGTGCAAACTCATCAGGTATGAAAAAGGTGACAAGGATCCGAGCCCCCCGACCCCACGGAATATCGGCTTTAAAATGAGGAATAACAGAGGATTTTAGCAATCAGAACAACTAAAGCAGCAGTTAATAATAACAGAAACGCCAGAGTCACATCTAATATAAATATATTTAAGCATTTATTTTAATTGTGTAGCAGTCAGTTTATAATTTTGGCAGGACTGTTGAGTATTTTGAAAATGTATTTTCATGCCTCTGTGCAAGGCTGTCTTTCTATCTTTATAGCCAGTGGTGTAAAGTAACTAAGTTCATAAACTCAAGTACTATACTTGGGTACAATTTTTAGATACTTGTACTTTATTTAAGTATTTCAATGTTTTGCTACTTTGTTCTTCTTCTCCTCTACAGTTCAGAGGTAAATGGTGTACTTTGACTCCACTACATGTATTTAATACCTTTAGTTACTTTACAGATGTGGATGAATGATGTGAAATCTAATCAAGTGTTAAATCAGACTTTAGTTCCACCTGGAGTAAATTCACAAGCTACCCTGCAGTATACAAAGTCATTCAAACTAGCTGCACCTTTACCAGCTTTGAGAACACTTTCATGATCAATCATTATAAAATATATCATATATATTATTCTGAAATGGACCAATCTGCACAATGACTACTTTTACTGTCGCTACTTTCACTATATTTTGATGATAATACTTTTCTACTTTTACTTGAGGAACATTTTGAATGTAGGACTTTTACTGTAACAGAGTATTCCTACACTCTGGTACTTCTACTTTTACTCAAGTACAAGATCTGAGTACTTCTACTTTTACTCAAGTACAAGATCTGAGTACTTCTACTTTTACTCAAGAACAAGATCTGAGTACTTCTACTTGTACTCAAGTACAAGACCTGAGTACTTCTACTTGTACTCAAGAACAAGATCTGAGTACTTCTACTTTTACTCAAGTACAAGATACTTATACCACCTCCGTTTATAGGCTATGAAAGAAACTATTTGAAAACGAAGGCTAAAGCTAACGTTAGCAGATAGTGACAATGTATGCTAGTTAGCTAGCTCAACGATTCATTAAATAATATTGCGACAGAAACACTTTTCAGTGCACATCACGCTCTGCCGCTCCGACAGGGAGCTCTGCTCTGAACACCCCGTTCTAACCAGCGGTCCAGTCTGTGCCACAGTGACTCTGGACCGCACAGTTAATATTAACGAACGCACCGTAGGTAATGTAGCTGCTGAAGCTAGACCCTCATCCCGGAGCAGCAGAGCCTTATTATACATCCATGAGCAGAGCCGACAGGCAGGAAGACTCGAGCACACAGCTCGCGCTCCATTATAATATATAAAAAAAGAACACCATGCGTGTCATGATGGCACATAACAGCTCGCGGCCGCAGATTACTCCGGGTCCCAGACCCCCCCCATACCCCAAAAATATTTTTATTGCAGATCTACATGAATCACACAAACGACCTATTTTGGAATCAAAACGGCGAATTTCGCCGAAAGGTGACACGTTTGCATCCCTGTGTGTGTGTGGGGGGGGCGGGGCCTAACTATCTCTGTCTGTGTGTGTGTGTGGGGGGCGGGGCCTAACAGACACGCTGCAGCAGCGTGCACACAGATCTTTAAGAGTAGTAGTACCGTTAAAAGTAAAGTGTTAAGAGAGTGAAATGTTGCTTTATGAATGTCAACACTTGATGCCGTCACCTTGATTCCAATTTCAGATTCCTGTATTTGCCTAACTGAATTAGTTTAAAGAGAGAAAACATTTTAACGAAAAGTTGACTAAAATGTAAAGATTTTTCATCGACTAAAACTGGACTAAAACTATGAAGGATAGAAATGACTAAAATGTGACTAAAACTAATAACCATTTTCGTCTAAAGACTAAATAAAAAATAGCTGCCAAAATGAACACTGGTGTAAACTAAATATGAGCCAATAAAGGAATGAGCAAACTGGAATACAAATACAAATGTAGTGAGTAGACGTTTTACAAATACATTTACACTACCGAGGAAACAAAAAGGGGCACTTTTAAAAGCACAAAAACACATTTGTCACCACAGATATTAACGTACCGAGAGTCTCCCTCATGTTCTTGTAAAGGTTAATGGCGTCCGTGTCCTTCATGAACTCCCGCACCACCTCCCCCTGATCGTTCTCCACAATCAGCACCTCCTCTGGTTTGGCCATGCGGCTCACCATCAGCAAACGCACCTTCAGGAAGAGGAAGAGGAAGAGGAGAAGGAATTAGGTGGATCTGAGAAACTGTGAGGTCCTTTTGAGAGAGCGTGACTAATCTTAATCCATTACAGAAACATGATGTAGACTGACAAACATTTCTCATATTATCTGATTCCTGCTTCTATAAAGAGAATACTTGTTTGTTTTGGTCGATGAAGTTGAAGTCTTTGGTTTTGGACTATTGGTTTGACAACATATAATTATCATTTGAGGAAATCCCATTGTGTATTTAGCAATTATTTACATTTTAAAGACTAAACGCTTGATAATTTAACGTAAAAAACATGCCATTTATCACCAGAGATGGCAAAAGTACACACATCCTTTACTCAAGTAGAAGTACAGATACTGGTGTTTAAAAATACTCTGGTAAAAGTAGAAGTACTGACTAAACTTATTTACTCAAGTAAAAGTAAAGAGGGCTTTGAAATGTACTTCAGTAAAAAGTACCCATAACTAGCAGCTGTTTTAAAGAGTACCTGACCTCCCTTTATATTAATAGAACAATAATGTCATTGTTAGCTAATGAATGTTTCCATGCTGAACAACGGCAACATGACAACGTTTTCATTGGTCCCTCTTCTTTAGAGAAGACCAGGAAATGATGGATACACGGATCGTGTTCAAATCAATAGGCACGCAATGACTCTAAATAATAATGATCACGCCACCAAACACACATTCAAACTAAAGGAACCAGCCTGTTTGGAAAATGTAAGAAGTAGAAAGTACAGGTATTTGTGTTCAACATGTGAGAAGTAGAAAGTACAGGTATTTGGGTTCAACATGTAAGAAGTAGAAAGTACAGGTATTTGTGTTCAACATGTAAGAAGTAGAAAGTACAGGTATTTGGGTTCAACATGTAAGAAGTAGAAAGTACAGGTATTTGTGTTCAACATGTAAGAAGTAGAAAGTACAGGTATTTGTGTTCAACATGTAAGAAGTAGAAAGTACAGGTATTTGTGTTCAACATGTAAGAAGTAGAAAGTACAGGTATTTGTGTTCAAAATGTAAGAAGTAGAAAGTACAGGTATTTGTGTTCAAAATGTAAGAAGTAGAAAGTACAGGTATTAGGGTTCAACATGTAAGAAGTAGAAAGTACAGGTATTTGGGTTCAAAATGTAAGAAGTAGAAAGTACAGGTATTTGTGTTCAAAATGTAAGAAGTAGAAAGTACAGGTATTTGTGTTCAACATGTAAGAAGTAGAAAGTACAGGTATTTGTGTTCAACATGTAAGAAGTAGAAAGTACAGGTATTTGTGTTCAAAATGTAAGAAGTAGAAAGTACAGGTATTTGTGTTCAACATGTAAGAAGTAGAAAGTACAGGTATTTGTGTTCAACATGTAAGAAGTAGAAAGTACAGGTATTTGTGTTCAAAATGTAAGAAGTAGAAAGTACAGGTATTTGTGTTCAAAATGTAAGAAGTAGAAAGTACAGGTATTTGTGTTCAAAATGTAAGAAGTAGAAAGTACAGGTATTAGGGTTCAACATGTAAGAAGTAGAAAGTACAGGTATTTGGGTTCAAAATGTAAGAAGTAGAAAGTACAGGTATTTGTGTTCAATATGTAAGAAGTAGAAAGTACAGGTATTTGTGTTCAACATGTAAGAAGTAGAAAGTACAGGTATTTGAGTTCAAAATGTAAGAAGTAGAAAGTACAGGTATTTGTGTTCAACATGTGAGAAGTAGAAAGTACAGGTATTTGTGTTCAAAATGTAAGAAGTAGAAAGTACAGGTATTTGAGTTCAAAATGTAAGAAGTAGAAAGTACAGGTATTTGTGTTCAAAATGTAAGAAGTAGAAAGTACAGGTATTTGGGTTCAACATGTAAGAAGTAGAAAGTACAGGTATTTGTGTTCAAAATGTAAGAAGTAGAAAGTACAGGTATTTGTGTTCAACATGTAAGAAGTAGAAAGTACAGGTATTTGTGTTCAAAATGTAAGAAGTAGAAAGTACAGGTATTTGTGTTCAACATGTAAGAAGTAGAAAGTACAGGTATTTGTGTTCAACATGTAAGAAGTAGAAAGTACAGGTATTTGTGTTCAAAATGTAAGAAGTAGAAAGTACAGGTATTTGAGTTCAAAATGTAAGAAGTAGAAAGTACAGGTATTTGTGTTCAAAATGTAAGAAGTAGAAAGTACAGGTATTTGGGTTCAACATGTAAGAAGTAGAAAGTACAGGTATTTGTGTTCAAAATGTAAGAAGTAGAAAGTACAGGTATTTGTGTTCAACATGTAAGAAGTAGAAAGTACAGGTATTTGTGTTCAAAATGTAAGAAGTAGAAAGTACAGGTATTTGTGTTCAACATGTAAGAAGTAGAAAGTACAGGTATTTGTGTTCAACATGTAAGAAGTAGAAAGTACAGGTATTTGTGTTCAAAATGCAAGAAGTAGAAAGTACAGGTATTTGTGTTCAAAATGTAAGAAGTAGAAAGTACAGGTATTAGGGTTCAACATGTAAGAAGTAGAAAGTACAGGTATTTGTGTTCAACATGTGAGAAGTAGAAAGTACAGGTATTTGTGTTCAAAATGTAAGAAGTAGAAAGTACAGGTATTTGTGTTCAACATGTGAGAAGTAGAAAGTACAGGTATTTGTGTTCAAAATGTAAGAAGTAGAAAGTACAGGTATTTGAGTTCAAAATGTAAGAAGTAGAAAGTACAGGTATTTGTGTTCAACATGTAAGAAGTAGAAAGTACAGGTATTTGTGTTCAAAATGTAAGAAGTAGAAAGTACAGGTATTTGTGTTCAAAATGTAAGAAGTAGAAAGTACAGGTATTTGTGTTCAAAATGTAAGAAGTAGAAAGTACAGGTATTTGTGTTCAAAATGTAAGAAGTCAAAGTAAAAATAAGTAGAAAAATAAGTAGTGGAGTAAAGTACTGATACCAGAAACATGTACTTAAGTACAGTAACAAAGTATTTGTACTCCACTACTTCACTTCTGTTTATCAGTCTAAATTGGTAAACAGTTGTGGAAGCTCATCATGTCTGGATATCTGAGTGTAGCGAGGCGTACCTGTGAGAGCACGGGCAGGTAGAGGTGTCTGCGGGGGGGCACGTCAGACAGCAGCGGGGTGCTGGAGGTGGAGAACGGACTCTCTCTGTAGAGCTCGGCTGCCAAGTGGTTCCAGTACTCCAGACAGATCTTGAAGATCTCCGTCTCCTCCACCTCCGACACCAGCAGCATGAAGTGCAGCGCCTGAGGGCGGACAAGAGTACATCAATGACTTATTCTGTTACAGAGGGAAAACAAGTAGAAAACACTCCAAAGAAACCTGTGTTTAATACCAAATACACAAGTGTGTTTTCTGAAAGGTCCCTGAATGAGCTGACTTTGGGATTGTTTTAAGTTATGCACTCCCTTTTTGACTTCACAGACAAAGGCTGATTAAGAACGGCATTATGAAATAGTTAGATGATTGCTATATATCATTTTAATGTAAAAAGCAAACTGTTTTGCAGCTTAGTTGTCCTTGTCCACTGCTTTTATGTCTATTTCTTGAGCAATTAAATAGAGATTATTGCAACAAAAAAAACTGAATGTGTACAGAGAGCTGGCCCATAAACCTGACTCTGGAGTTCCTTTTTTTAATAAACATGGAATACTTCATCTCAGTGTTTCCGCCAGACCAGGGCTGAGAGGGCGTCCACCCCGAGAGCGGGGGGGGGGGGTGTGACGTCACGTCGTGTCACGTGACTTGAATTTTGAATTGAGCTGTCCCTTTTATAGATACTATCTCTTTACGTATTAGTGATGGGAATTCCAGCTCTTTTTAGTGAGCCGGATCATTTGGCTCGACTCACTAAGAAGAGCCGGCTCTTTCGGCTCCCAAACGGCTCTTCATGTTACCACAGTTTACCAGAGCCTCAGTTTCGCCGCTGCGAGGCTCCGGCGCTCGCAGTTCACGCGCGTGCTCCACTAGCACCCCCCGTCAAGGCTCGCCGGCAGTACACTTTCCGCTACTTGGCGACATCTGGGATTATTAGATCTCTCTGTTAAACTGACTTTTCATTGAATGTACTGCTACACAGAATCCGTCTAGCTCCTGAAACAATGATAGCTAACTCCAAATGGACAAACAGCTACAGGCATTGCGGCCCTTTCCTCTGTAATCAGTCCCTAATGTTTGTCATTGCAAAGGTGTAATCAGGACTAAACCGTTTAGAGGGAGGTTTCATTTCAACAAGGCGAAAATGATTATACGCCACCAGCTGAAAGTTGTAGGCTTGTTTACTCGACCAAACTCAATATCCTCGTACCTCCATGAGCGACTCCCTCAGGTTGTTCCTCTTCTCGATGAGCTGTCCGTGTTCTTTGAGGAACGTGCAGAGGAACAGGCTGAGGTTCTGGATGAAGTTCTGCTCGTCGTCCTTCCCGTTGGCGTAGGCCACTCGGATGTTGGTGTTCAAAGGCAGCATCTGACCACAAAGACAAAACAGAACATCAGAAACTCACCTTTATTTACTTATAGTTGAGCTTTATTTAAATCCCACTTGATTCCCCTTAATTGTTTCCACAGTGTGTTTAGTTTGAGGACATTGCATTTACTGTAAATATGCTGCGTCTTAAACCGTTGAGACCACCCAAGGAAAAACATTTCATCTAAAACTACATTTCAACAGTCTCTGCACCATTTAGCTCATTGTATTTTGGACATGTATATAGTTTACTTCATCTGCATTACTCAAGTGGTCTTACAAGATTAACTCGCACTGTTCAATTGTTTTATGTCTTATATATATGTAGGTTGTTGGAGGAACATGTGACTTAACATTTTCAATGCCATATCTACACTGTAGCTACTGTTCATAGGACAATCAAGCCTTTGAATGTTGAATAAAGCAACCACTAGGGATGCTCCGATCGATCGCCGCTCATTTCTCCCGTGTTATTATCCAAAGTTAATGTAAACTTGAATAATGTACTTCATTTGAATGTAATAATTATGTTGGTTGTTGTTTGTGGAAGCGCCAGTGAATGAACCCCATTAACTGAGTTTTAAACATCACTTTAAAATTGATTCCGGCGATCGGAGCATCCCTAATAATCACCCAAACACTTTTAAAAGGAATAGACTATAAGAGAGGCTGAAAGGCTTCGGATAAAGCTGCAAAGTTAAAAGTGAGTTATGATTTGTTCAAAAATATATTATACAAGTCAAGAATAATCCTCTAAAATGATATGATTTGTAAAGGAGCCATGGCTTGGTATATATACACAGAACGGAGTGGTCTAAATCAGGGGTTCCCAACCTTTTTTCCCAAGAGCCCCCCCAAATGACTCCTGTTGGAAGTTGCGCGCGTTGCCGCCCCCCCCCCCCACACACACACACGGGGGGGGGGCGCAACAGCGGTAATTAAAGTGTAAAAGTCTCAGAAATGCTACAACTACTGTCAGAAACTGGATGAATGTGAAGTATGTTGTTAAAGGACGATGAAAGCGTAATTAAGGAGCACTATTGGAGTGACTTTGATGGTTATTGGACTCTGGATTCATTCATTTGGATTCCCGCTGTATGAAGAAATTAAAGGACGCCGCAAGTGGAAACAATTCACAAAGGGATTAAACTGTTTAAAACGCATGCTCAAAGTAAGCCGGATTTTGCCGATGTGTTTATGTGGATTCAAAAGTCGTAAATAATCTACAAAATGGAGGAGACCGATCTGATCGGAGCAACTGTGACAAATAATCTGAAACCGGCATGGACAATGACTATGTTTTAAAAATGCGCTTATCCAGAAAAGCCTGGTTTGGACACTTTACGGGCAGAAGAAACATTTCTATTAAAGAAAGAATTATACATTTCTGTCTTTTTATGCCTATAATAGCTACTAACTTGAATTGTTATTCAAATTAATTAATTAATTATTTTTTATATTTTATTGTAATGTAGAGACAAGGCTTTTAGTGACAATCATGTATTGCGTTACAATTATATGTAAAAAAAATTAAAAAAAATGTAATTTAAAAAATAAATAAAAGTCTAAATATGATATTTGGCCTCAAATCATCTGAGGCCTGGCGCCCCCCCTGCGATCTTTGGTTGGGAAGCACTGGTCTAAATCCTTCTTCACATTCAGAATCATACATTCATTTTTCTTTGTGCATATACACACTCATTACCCTACTCACACATTTACACACAAGTCCCTTCCCTGACCTCTTCCTACAGTGACAGCAGCTGCAGGTAGGTGGAGCTGTTTACATCCACCTGGTGAGGCGTGTGTGCACATGCTGATGGGTAATACACTGAGACAATTGGAAGCAAGGGTTATGCTTCCAGAAACACAGACAACGTGGTTATTAAATTCAAGATTTCACTTTCACTTCAAAAGGTTTGACAAGTCATATTTACAAAAAATGTGTGCCGGCTGATGCCTGATTTGTTTTATGAGACTGGGCGTCGATCGACAGATAAAACCCCGTAGAGAGTCTCAAGAGGATTTGCCAATTATTTATTTTGTACTGGTTTTCTCCAGCTGTCTCTGGTTTTGCTGGTTCAAATATTGTGCATTTGTACACTTTTTTTCTAATTACCCTGTTCCTCCTGTAAAGCAATGGTTTTAAAATGTGCAACAAGAAATGAAGCCTGCCTACTAAAGCAGAATGTGTGGCTCTGATGCTCCTTTGTAAACTAAAAAAACCGTTATACTGAATCTGCCTTTATACCATAATAAAAAGGCAGATTCTCACAGGTCTTTTTTCCCTTCTTGGCACATTACATTACATTTACAAAATCTAATATTGGTTTAAAGACTTCTATTTTGTATAAAACCAGGATGATTGTAGTAATTTGCTGAACACGATCTTGTAAAAACATTAGTAGCTATTAAAGACTCATGGAGAGTAATCCTTCGTGTTGCCTGTCATGTTTTGAGCCCGAGGCGGTCTGTAAAGCATATTCTCTGAAGGTGTGTGAGGGGCGGAGGCAACACACCTGTCAGAGGATTGACATACATCGTAACCTGAAGGGTCACTTTCACTCTGTACTGAATACAATCATTATGGCACCGTCTTTTACATTTTACATTCATTATTTGTCAATCTTTGTTTCTTGTAGTTTTGTTTTTTAATTTGCTCAGGGTTCCTGCAGGTTTCACCAACTCAAATGTAACCTTTTTAAGACCACTTTGAAAAGAATTGAAGACCTATTTCACGGCAAGAAAGTATGAAGGGAAATAGCTATGAAAGAAGAAATATGTCCCATAATTACTTACAAGGTGAATGTATTCATGTTCAACATAAGAACAATGACTGAACATAACAGCACACAGAACTGTGTTAGACAAAAGGTGTGTGTGTGTGTGTGTGTGTGTAGCTGTTGTATGATCGGTGTTTAACTACGGTATTTAGCGTCTACAGCACCTGCGCTTTTAGGGTCGACGTAGACCCAAACGTCGCCCGGAGGTCCCCCGATGTTGTTGCGGGAGCTGCTGCACTAGCTAACGCTGCACTAGCTAACGCTACATTAGCAAACGCTACATTAGCAAAACAAATGCTACATTTCTTTTGCAAAAGGTGCAGCGGGCTTCAAACACATTTCCCTCCACTGGTTTCAACCAAGCACTAAATTCGATGTTTTCCAACCAAATACGGTTGAACTTACACTTCCCCATATTTATTTGTAAGTAGATTCGAAGATACATCAGTTTCTGACTGCCGCTAGCTGAAGCTTGGTTGCTAGGTTACTAGCTGGGTGTTCTCCGATAAGGGGCCGGGGGAAACAAAGTTAGTGATTACTGGTTCCATGTTGATTTATTTCAATACAAATTGTTGGGGGGAACTGAAAGGCTCTTACCGTACTGGTTACTAAGCAGCCCGGACATTTCCCCCAAAACACATTTAGACGCATCTCAACACAGAAGTACCTTTCAAATCCCATCATTTTTCAGACCTTCTAAATCATATTTAAGACCTTTCTTATTTTTTAGGTCATATTTAAGACCTTTTTAAGGCCTTAAATTCTGATTATCAAATGTAAGACTTTTTAAGACCCCGCGGGAACCCCGATTGCTCTTTTTACTGCACTGTTAGTATTATTATTAGTATATTTTGTAATGCACAATAATTGCCTTGGGGATAAATAAAGTATTATCTAATTGCCTGCAGACGGTCATATTTCAAACAAAGACACTGAAAATACTAACAAAGAACTCCACTCGTGTTTTTGGAAATTCCTCCTAAAGCTTTCCACTGCGTCTTCTCATAAAAACACTTAAATCACACGTTCACTGTTATTCTTGTCCACTTGTAATTACAGTGAACAAACAGAAAACTGCTTACACTGCATGACAATGTTAAGTGTGAGTGTGTGTGTGTGTGTGCGTGTGTGTTTGTATTGTGTGTGTGTGCAACAACAAGCTGACAGCACTATTGAGAGAGCAGACTTTACCTACTGTGTGTGTGAGGTAGGAAACTGAGGAGGGTTGCACAAAGTGTGTGTTTGTGTGAGTAATAACAGAGTGGACATGTGGAACTGTGCTTGTGTGTAATCATTCTGAGTGCAATTAACTAAAGCACCACTCATAATGAGAGTGTTGTGTGTGTGTGTGTGTGTGTGTACCTGTTTAAGCTGGCCCATGGTGAGAGTGCTGTGTGTGTGTGTACCTGTTTAAGCTGGCCCATGGTGAGAGTGTTGTGTGTGTGTGTGTGTGTGTGTGCGCGTACCTGTTTAAGCTGGCCCATGGTGAGGGTGGTGTGTGTGTGTGTATGTGTGTGTGTGCGTGTGTGTACCTGTTTAAGCTGGCCCATGGTGAGTGTTGTGTGTGTGCGCGTGTGCATGCGTGTGTGTGTACCTGTTTAAGCTGGCCCATGGTGAGGGTGAACTGGTTGACAAATTGCTCCTCGTACTGGTTGACGCTCACGCCGGCTATCTCTGTCAAACATTTCAGCGTAACGTTGCGAAACATGGGCACATTCAAGAACTGAAACACAGGAATACAAACAACAGGTCAGGTCAGAGGTCAACTGGAGAGGTTTACTGTCCTGTCTGTTTTGTTAATCACTACTCCTTATTTCTCCATGATAAATGGCAGTTTTAACATTCAGTAATGATTGTAGACAGAAAACCGTTACAGACGTTCATAGCAGACCAAACTAGGGCTGGAGCTAAAAATAGCTTTAATTATCTATTCATCCGTTTAAGTGAATGGCCTGGTCTATAAAGTGTAATGAAACAAGTGTCCATCAGGATTTCCCAGGGGTAGCCTCCTCAAATGAACTGCAGACATTCAATTAAGATGATATCAAACTGAGAAAACCACAAATTCTTAAATATAAAGTAGGGCTTTTGCATGATACACAAAAAGAATAGGGAGAAGTAAACATCTGTGGAATCGGCTATATTCCCTTTCAAAACTCACAAGTACAATACAGTTTTACTTTATGTGAACTGTGTGTTTTTACTTTGTATTTGTGGACCACCAACAACACATTTCTATCACTGAGATTCAGAAAATGATACAAATGTCTAACCCTCAGTTTTGTTCATCTGAATGGATATGTTCTGCTTTACCTTGTAGACCAGAGTGCTGATGAGCTTGGTCTCGAAGATGTAACCTAAAGGAATCCAATTCAGGAAGCGGAGCAGAGTCTCCAGTGTGGCGTGGACCAGCGGTGCATTCTGGGAGTTTTCCTATTCAGAGAAAGAAGAAATGTGCATTAGAATAGATTGTGGGTTTAATTAAAACATCAGTGGCAGGAGAGTTTGGTTTCATTAATTAATTCATGTCTTACCATCACAAACTGGCACAGCTGGAATATGGAGGAGAACTCGTTGCACATGCTGAGAAACAAAAAGTAGGGAACATCAGTGATGGTATTCATGTCTTAAAACGTTTTAGAATATGTGGACATTTCTGGATAACACACAAAATCTGGTCCCAAGAGGAATCATTTTTCCCATATAAACGATTGTTATTATTTAAAAATAAGCAGCTTTCTGTATTTCAGTGACAAAAATGTATACTTTTTATTTGCAGAAGGGATTGACAAAGCATTCGATCAAACTGCACCAACTCTACACTTCACATAAGTCACACTAAGGGATGCAGAATACAAATAAAAATAAACCTATTGCCTGTATTTTTACTGATATTGCTATTGCCAAATGAGCAGAAAGGATCATTTTTTTAAACACATACTCATTTTCAGTAAAAAAACATTTGAAATATTAATGGTTTGATTTTTTTAAAGAGGATGTGTACCAGACACAATACTACATACAGATATGTGCACACATTTCACCTTTACAAAATATGACATTAGTCCAAATTGCAATTCAATAAAATGTCCATTCATTGTGCAGCCATTGTCCCAGTACATTATGAGTCATCAGTTACCTGTCTTTGAGGTGCTTGGCCTTCACCTGGGTCATCTGTCCGCTGGAGAAGTCAAAGACCTCCTCGCTGAGCAGCTTGAGGATGATCATGTTGTTCTGACAGAGGCTCTCGCTGGTCCGACTCGCACCCACGATGTCACTGATGAAAGTCGGCCAGTGTTTGGGCCATTCCTGTTTCAGGATCTAGAAACAGTCCAGAGAAGCAGAGCTGTGTGTGAGCAGGCTCATCGCATCATGACGTTTAGTGTACCACGTGTAAACCATCAAGAGTTATTCACCTGTACGAGGATCATGTTGAGTTTTGAAATGTAGACTCCCTCTTTCTGCAAATGAACAACACACCAGTCCCATCAGTATCAAGCAGCAGGTTAATAATCAAAGTGACGTATCTTTGTGTAAGCTCACCTCCATGTTGGCAGGATCAGAGGAAGTCTTAATGATCAACCCAACAACATACTTCTTGATACCTGTAAACACATACTAGAATTTTTAAAATGCAAAAAGTATTTCCCTGACAAGTAACACTTCAGACAGAAAACATCATGTGCATATTCATTTAACATCATAAAACTGACCTTCACACTGATTTCTAGGAAGAATTTTCCAGCGTGTTTTGATGACCGTCTCCAGAATCTGCAGTGCGTAATACTGAGGGGAAAAAGTGAGACATAAGAGACATATTCTTTACATCAGAGCTGATTAACAACAAACAAATGGCTTAATATGATATAATAAAAACTGAATGTGTTATGTCTCTATGGGGAAGTTAACAAAAGATGTCTTATGGCCCATAAACCCATGAACCGTCCCCATTGAAAGACATGTACAAACATGTTCATGCATGTGGATACTTGATATAGTATCAAATGAACTGTGTGCATCAGTAGTCTGTAGTTGGCACATTAACTTCAGAGATTTACTCAAATGTTTTACATGACTTTCTTAACACCTACATATGTCAAATTGACGTAACCGAATGAATATCTCTTGTTACAACTCAGTGCAGATTATCCATTTATATCAAGCCTATTTAACAAATCAATCAAACTCTATTGATTCTATCTATATTATTATCAAAAGATGCAGCAAAAATTGAAAAACTTAAGCAGATAACCCCACATTATTAACACAGTAAGCATCTATGGCCTGGAGAAAATCCAATAAATACAGCTGGGCTAAAGCGAAAGTCATGCTCAAACCTCCCTGCCCTGAAAGCCTGATGTGGATAAACTGATAAACATCAGCTCACATTATTACATTCCCCAAGAGAGACCGTCAACAAGCAGCAGCTAGGAGTTCATCGCTTCTGAAACACCAGCGTTCATCAGGTACGTACTTTTGTTTTCATATTCTGGGAGAACTCCAGGATGGTGTCGACCCTCGTCCAGGCGTCTGGGTGGTCCTTGAGGTTTGTGAGAACTTCCTGGGCCACTCTTTGCTATAAAAAAAATAGCAATACAGCGAATATAAATCTTAAGGTTTATTTTCTTACACATCTTATTTGACCTGATCGCCCCTAATAGGAGCAGGGTTAAGCTACGCAACACAGTATTCAGACACTTGAAGTATTTGTCCTCACCTGTGATCCAATGTCATGGTGCATGGAGTTGACAACATTATCCAGCAGGTTGATGTCCAGCTTCTGAGTGAAGTCCAGCAGCTGTCTGGCTGGGTGATCGGCCAACATCGTCATTTCGGCTGGCATAGAGCCTCTGAGGGAAGAGAAGCCGTTTCTGCAACTGATAATACTCACAAAGATATGACTTGAAAGTAAAAAAAATACACAGATCTATAGTAGGAGTGAAGACTTTCATTGCCAGCAGCTGCTTCTCTGTGACTGTAGTGTGTGTATGATAATAAATAACATGCTTTATTTACATTTTAAATACTGCTCTACAAACCTGGGAACTCAAACAGGACATTTAAATCAGGGGTGGAATCTTATTAAGTTCATTAACTCAAGTAGGCATTTCCATTTTCTGCCACTTCAAAATACTACTCAAGTAACATTCAGAGTGAAATATTGTATTCTTTAGTGCACAACATTTAACTGAAAGCTGGCTCCCCAGGTCAAGATTCAACATGTTATTTTCTAATCAGGTAAAAAAACAAAACAGTACGGTACAGTAAGAGGAGTTACTATCAGCCCTACGTTGACAACATAGAAAGACTGCTTACATTAATGAATACAATCACAATAAGTGAGGCCATTCTGCTAACCTGCATCAGGAAAACTTTAACTTCTGATACTATAATTACACAGTATGTGCAAAAGTACAAACATGGTAAATGTAAGGTGTTAAGACAGTGCAAGAATAATGCCTACCATGGATACCATAAGATACATATTGAAGATATACAATCGAATAGTACACGGATACGGTAGTAGCAAATAATAAGACAACAAATTATTCCTGTTCAGCCTAAATGTGTCAAGATATTCAGCCTCGTGGTCCAATTATGACACCCATTATTTCATAAACTAGGACGAGATGAAACGGCGCCCCCACCTGGATAACAGGGCGCGTAGAACCCCATTCACCACAACCCGACCGATAGACCCGTTTATACTACACTTTAATTAAAAGACGATTGGGAAACAGATCCTGGAGATACTAGTCCTCGGGCTACAACACTCCACTATGTCAGTTTGTGGTTTGTGTAGTTAGACAATAACAACCACATTACTTTAGAAACGGATGCTAACGTTAGCCCACGCTGGGTAAGTTAGGTTACTGTTTATCGGGCTTAACTTACCTTGTGTGTCCTGTCCTTTCCTTGGAATCAATAACTGTCCTATCAGATGTGTCTTGTAGTAATACGAGTCCTCTCAAAGCGATGAAACGTTATCTCATGACACACGTTTGCTCCTAACCTTCGATAGCTAAAATGCTAACGTTAGCTTCACTGGATGACACCAACAGCTCTAATTTAAAAACACCGTTACACGGATACTTATCGATTCTTGGCGGTGTATTAAAAAGCTTTCCGCAGATTACCACAGCCTATAGTTTCTTGTCTTCAGCCAGAAAAACGTATATTTGTCTTTAGCGATCAGTGATTACAGCCGCCTCCCTTTTACCAGGCTAATAGCAATGTAGCGTGCTAATGGAAAAGTCAATGAAGATTCTGGTCTGCGGGCTCATTTAAGCTAAGCTAACAACACAGATTCTCGGAGTCACACTTTAGAGCAGTATTCCGGGTCATAATCACGAAGTAAAAAGAGTTTCGTGTTTATTTCTGATTCTATTCGCACACACTGTTGGAGAGCAGAGATGTTTTAATGCGTGCAAGTGGGCTCTTCCTCTAAGCTCATGCTTCCAACCACGGACCGGTTGAAACCGGTTGAGACCGGGATATTCTTTCTCGGTGTTTCGGCCCGTTGCGCGCCGCGTAAAATTTGGACTATGTACCCGCCCACCTGGCTCCTGATTGGCTGTGCTGGTGCAGACGTCATGCGGTGTCATAGGCTGGGTGGAGCTGTCAATCTGGTTCAGCCTCCCTCCCTCTGATATAAAGTAAATATCTTCAGAATCAGATATTTATAACCAAGAAGGTTTACACATAAGAGCAATTCGCCTTGGTGTAAATGGTGCATACAAACACACAGAAAGAAGACAACGTTACAAAAAGGAGCAAAACATTGTCCTATTATAAGTATAATAAGTAAGACCATTTTAATAATTGAAAATAAATACAATATTTACACACACACACTTAACACATACCCTGGTTCTTGCACTGTTCTATCTCTTTGTGTGTAAGTATGAAAGAACCTTGTAAATGTCCTGCATTTAAGTGTAAAATGTATTAGTTTCGAAATGTACTTTATGTGAAAAAATAATTAGAAAAAGGCTCCTCATTATGCAGAATAATCCATTTGAAAGTAATACAAAAAATGCGTTGGTTATATTTTTGTTTTATATTCATTGATAGATGTATGTACCGTATGGCTGTATAGCCTAATCTATAGATGTGTATTGGTTGATAATATGTTGTATAACTATTAACAAACTTTAACCTAATTAAGGGTTTGAATACATTTGTCAGTACTTCTTCCGCCAGTGCTTAAATTCATTACAGGAAAAAAACAAGTGGTCACTTTTTGTGGCTTTATTGAAGATCGTCCAGTGTAACAACAAAAAAACAACAATACATATTTCATATAGCAATAAATAAATACAACTTAATTTATATCGTAGATCTAATTACACAAGTGTTTTACATTACATTTTACAGATGTTGAAACTACAGTTATGTGAAATTAAACCTGTCATTATTGATGCAAAGGGAAGAAAATGTCAAATAACGGCTCACTATGTATAATATAGGTACTCAGGTTAAAGATATCAAAGTCTCAATTTTATGAGCACAATATGTGAGCACAATATTTACAATAACATATAACATCTCATCATTTAAGGAATTATAAACTTTTCGTTGTTCCTCCACACTCAGTTGTGTCTATCAGAGTTTTTGGACGTAGCAATGGCCGCTTGTTTCATGATATGCGATGCCATCACTTCCCTTCTTCCTGCTTTGTGGTGTCAGCTTCGTGCTCGCTGTCGTCTGAATAATTCTCGTGATCGTCTGAGTAGTGGTAACTTCCATCTGAATCCTGATCAGAGTGGTGACTCCTGGCGTCCTCACTGTCACGGAGACTTTGTGAAGTCGCGTCGCTTCCTCCTTCCTTTTCTTCTGGATCCACATCGTTATCTCCCATGAAGACCTTCCTGTAGTGAACAGGTTTGTACCCCATGTCTGGCTCCTCTTGTTCACTAACAAACATGAACAAAATCAGATCAGATCAATAACACTAGCAGGCCTTAAAGATGGCTGTGATCATTCATAGTACACACAAACAACAGTCAGTAGGGGCTTGGACTGTGAGCCGTATAGGGTCGCCGGTTCAAGTCCCCGACCAGACCTAAATATGGAGTGTGGACTGCTACTTGGAGAGGTCCCAGTTCACCTCCTGCCCTGCCGTGGTGCCCTTGAGCAAGGCACCGGACATCCCCCTTCCCCCCCCACTCCCATTGCTCCCCGGGCGCTGTACAATAGCATGCTCACTGCTCCTAGTACTAGACTCCTGGTACTAGGATGGGTTAAAAGCAGAGAACACATGTCACTGTGTGTGCTGTGTGCTCTGCATGTGAGACCATTAAAGAGGGTCTCATACCCCCTGATTATATCTAACCAATCACTAAACAATTGATCACTAATCACCCGGATCCAAGTCTAACAAAGATTCCCCACTCCATGAGATAAATGGGGTTTCTATGATTTACCCTAATCACATTTTGGTGTTCATTTGTGTTTTCACTTCTAGTTACAAACATATTTTCACTATTGATTTATTTATCCTTGTTGTGATGCGTATTATTTAGTATTTTATTTTGTTTATGAATCAATCAAAAAAACTTTGAATCAATAACATATTTAAATCTGGTTTTGTATGTTTGTATTTGACTTAAAGGTAGGGTAGGTAAGAATGGAGGAACCAGCTCGAGTGCGCTAGAATTTGAAAATACGCAGCCGAAAAGAATCTGCCCCTTCCTTCAGACTTCCTGACAGAGCCCCTCCTCCAACACACACGAACGCGCACATGACCAATGAGGGCACGAGATAAGTTTGTGCACAGATGGAAGGCTGACAGGCAGGTAGGCCATCCAGTTACTTTAGCCGGGCCGGCTCAGATGATTGGTCGTGCTTTTTACAGTATTACGGCTTCCACAGATGACATTTATGTATTTATTGTCAAAGCATTTAATGTATTCATTGCTATCGGGATGTTAAGAGCATTCCATGGAATATAACAAGTGTTTCTGAAGTGAATTACCTACCCCACCTTTAACAATTATTATTTATAATTTATCAAAAGTAAATTGTAGTAATTGTAATTGTACAGCACTTAACAAGTCCAGCGCTAAGAAAATAAATAGGATAACAATAAACTCTACGCTCCAGCAAATTAAAAATCCACCTAAAATGTTCAGGTAAGTTTTAGGAAATCCTTTTGTTAAAAGATGATATCATTCTATGTCTTAGATTCTCATGTTTTACTTGCATGACTTTCTATATTATTTAAATGACCACTGTCGGAGGGAGCCTCAGAGCTAAGATTTCCACGACTGCATCTCTGTAATTGTTGTGCATTTAACGAAACATATTTTAAAAACTTGAAGCTATCGGCTGTTTTATTTGATGAAATGTTTCACTGCGGCCCCTCCCAGATGATTCATCTCATTACACTCAGCCGCAGTGTGTGTGTGTTTTTCCACAGACTCACCTCTGTGTGCTGTCTCTGGACTCAGAGGCGTTGTGTTCAGATCCTGCTCCAGCCGCCTTGCTGCTGATGAAGTCTTCAGTCAGGTCACATCCCTGCAGAGCGTCTGCGTAGCGCTTCTCTGCCGCCTGCTTAGCATTCCTCTGTTATCAAAGTGCAGAGAGTCAGCGTAAACAACAACATCCAAGCAAGGCAAGTTTATTTATATAGCACTTTTCAGCACGCGACAATTCAAAGTGCCTTACAAAACAAATTAAAATACTTTTTAGGAATAAATACAGTAAAAACACATTATATAATGGCATTTTACAACAGGCATTAAAAAGCAAAGATAGTCAAATAAACACAACAGGTATACAATACATGTTTAAATAGCATACTGCAGTGCGAGTATGAGCAGCTCAAATAAAAGCAGCGGCAAAGAGATATGTTTTCAGTCTCGATTTAAAAATAGTACGACTTTCTGCAGACGTGCACAATTCGGGTAGTTTGTTCCAGAGTGTCGAGGCATAATAGCTAAACGCTGCTTCTCCATGTTTTGTTTTTACTCTCGGGAACCGATAGCAGACCCGTCCCAGAAGACCCGAGGAACCTTGATGGTTCGTAATTATGTAGGAGATCAACAATATACCATGTAATGATTTAAAATCGAGCAATAGTACTTTAAAGTCAATTCTTTGGCCGACTGGAAGCCAGTGTAAACAAAGCTTTTGTTCGAGAAATAACACTCAGATTCATCCAATGTTGGATTGCATCAGTCTGTGATATTAATGGATCCACGCACTTATGCTAAGACAATTATTGATTTTTTTAACAGTTTATTACAATAACTTTTAATTAAAAATGTAAGTATTCAGATGTTTTACTTATTTAAAAGTGCAGTGTAGAAATACAGTTCAAGTCCTGAATTCAACATGTACAAAGGTGTGAGCATAAAATTATACTTAAAGTAAATATTATTATGATCCATTTAAAATAGTGCATACTATATGGTCGGATTATAATGTTTGATGCATTAAAATGAACATTCATTTAATGTTAAAAAGTCCATCCAACAAGCAGCAACTTGTTCAGTAATCAGGGTAAATGCAGGAATCCTGAAGTCACATGTAAAACCTTTTAAGACCTTTTTTAAGACCCTTTCCATACATTTTAAGACCTCATCGCCACTTGGAGTTTTAACCGGTTACATTGGCGACACACTTTACCTCACATTGACTATATACAGTATTGATTGTCCTTCCTCCTTATCTTCCAACCATTTGGACGCAGACTTGCATTTCCCCATAACGATGTTGTTTAACAACCGGCGTAAACGGACCTTCGCGCGCTATCAAGCAGTGAGCGTGACAGACCGTAGCTTCTCAGTGCAGCTAGGTGCCTTCTCCTCAGCCATAGCCCCTCTTACCTGTGGGGTTCCCCAAGGCTCGATTTTGGGCCCCATCCTTTTTCTACTGTACATACTGCCCCTAGGTTCAATTCTCACAAAACACAACATCCCCTTCCACTGCTACGCCGACGATGTACAGATCTATCTGCCACTCAATTCAAATGTCAACTCATTACAGCTATTGATGGACTGCTTAGCAGAGATCAAATCCTGGCTGAGCCAACATTTCCTCAACCTCAATGAGAGCAAGACTGAGGTTATCTTTTTTGGACCCCAACCTCCAGCCTCCCAGGTTGATATTCTGGGCTCCCTCAAAAATAATATCCTCCCCTCTGTCACGAACCTTGGAGTGACCTTCAATAGCGCTTTTAAATTCGATAAGCAGGTCAGCAGCGTAGTCAAAACCTGCTTTTTTAAAATACGACTATTGGCCAAGACTAAGTCGTTTTTATCATTTGAGGACCTGGAAAGGGTTATTAACGCCTTTGTTACCTCGAGGTTGGACTACTGCAACGCTCTGTACGTGGGTATGGACCAGGCGTCAATTAAACGCCTGCAGCTAGTCCAGAACGCAGCTGCACGTCTACTCACTGGCCACAAAAAGCGTGACCACATCACCCCAATTCTGACCTCACTACACTGGCTTCCACTTCGGTTCAGAATTGATTTTAAACTCCTTTTATTTGTTTTTAAAGCACTAAATGGGCTCCGGCCTATATAGCTGAACTCCTCCAGCGCTACACCCCAGCCAGAGCTTTAAGGTCTGCTGACCAGCTGCTGCTGGTAGTGCCCAAGACCAGGCTAAAAACCCGAGGGCACCGAGCCTTTGCAGCAGCTGGCCCGAGGCTCTGGAACACTCTGCCCCTCCATGTGAGGTCGGCCCAGACCCTAGGGGGTTTTAAATCTACTCTTAAGACACACTTCTTCTCTCTGGCCTTCTAGTCAGAGCGGAGCACGACTCCTGACTTTTCCCTGTGTTTTCTTTTTAAATATCTGTTGTAATTTATTGTCTTTTATTGTGCTTATAGAAATGTGTTTTTATGTGATTGTAGTTATTACATGTACAGCACTTTGGCCCGACCAAAAATCGCTTTTAAATGTGCTCTATAAATAAACCTTGATTTGATTTGATTTGATTTGAGCGTGCGATGTCCTGTTCAGATGACGTCAAATCCAACGGGATGCCATAAATAAACTACACAGAATCACACTACACACCTACGCAATGATTACATTCAGGCAGACTGTAGAATACAACCTCTTTGGACAATTTATATACTTATTGAAAACAAGCTACAAAATGTAATACCTTGGAAGATGCCGTTTAATACTTTTTAATAGCCTTCATTTTCGCTAAATTGATTGATCAACTTTTAATACTTTTTAAGACCCTTCGGACACCCTGAATAAAGACCCTCAGGTGGAGGCTCACCTGGGCGACCTGCTCCAGCAGCAGCGGCCTCCCCTTCACTCTCTGCTTCATCTCCTTAATCTCCTGCTGGTACTCCTTCTTACGCTGAAGCCCTTGTTTCCTGCAGAGAATCAAAAACTATGGATCACCACCTTTTCACTCTCCAGATGTTCAGCTCATTCTGCAGTCGTGGTGTTTTTAGTCAAAGTCAACTTTATTGTCAATCTTCCAGTTTGTGTGTACAGACAGAGAGATCGAAATACCGTTTCTCACAATCCCAAATACATCATCAGACACATTTATACATATGAACATATTAAGACCTGAATAAAAGCACAACAATCAATGTATACAAAATAACAGTCACTTCAATATCTTTGGGAAATGTACATTAGTGCAAGACTGTCCATAGCAGCGGTTTTAGGGTACCTGAATTCTTTGAGTTTGCCCTGGTTCATCTGAGAGAGAGCCAGGTGGGGGTCGTTGGCCTGCGCTCGCTTCAGCACCACCCGCTGCAGCTTCCTCTCCCTCTGCCTCTGGCTCTCCTTCCACCGCTCCTCCTCTTCCTCGGCCTTCCTCCTCTCCTCCAGCACCTTTCTACTCAGGGAGACACTCATGTCACAGGACAGGAGGGTTTGGATAGGAGGGGGACTGCTGTGGGAGGAGGGGGGCAGATAGTGGAGGATATGGGTGCGATATCCTCTGCATTACATTAAAGGTCTCCTATTATACTGTTTTTCCTCAATATATTATAGGTCTCAGATATATACAGAACATGTCTCTGAAGTGTTTGGCTCCAAACACCAAACAGATCATTGCAGCATCCCATAATCCCCTCTGTTTCAGCCCTGTTTCTAAAGTGCTGATTCTCTGTCTGTTACTTTAGATGAAAATAAGGAGACACTCCCCACGCCCCTCTGAGAGAGATTTGGTTACAAAGAACACAATAGGCGCGTTCACACCGGAGTACTTTTCCCGTTTAGTTCCGATAGTTCCTGGGATTTTGCGTTCACACTAAAAAGAGAACTTAGTTCAGAGAACTTTTACCTCCTTTCTAGTGCCTGCTAGAGAGCAGGTACTTTCCTGGGGAGAAAAAAGTTCCAATTTCTATTGGCTGGGTGAATTGCAAACCACGCCCCGTAAAACTCAGAAAAGTTTTGTATTTGCTGGCATTAGCATTAGCATTAGCATTAGCATTAGCCCCGCGCACCAACGGAGAGAGACTAACTTATGGCAACACAAAAGAAAACATGGGAGCGGTGGAGTGATGAGGAGGTGTCGGCGTTCTGCCGATTTACTCTGAAGGCTTCAGTAGAAGCTGCTGGGAGTCCCAGCAGCTTCTACTGAAGCCTTCCCCAACTCCGGGGACTTCCGGCCGGGGACTTCGGGTGGCAGTATACGCCGTGAAGTTGTTTGCGGCCTGCCAGTAAACCCAAAGCAGAAGAAGAAGAAGTGACGTCAGCGGCTTCATTTGCGTAATCTTCCCTCAGGGAACTTATTCCGGTGTGAACGCGATCGGCTCGTTGTTCCATGGGGGAACTAAGAGCTGTGAACTAAGTGCGGCAAAGTACTTGGTGTGAAAGCGGCTAATGGTGCTCTAGGAGGAGATTCAGGTGATAAGGTGGGGGGGGGGGGGGGTTACCTTGGTTGGTGATTGGCTAATGGTTACTCAAGCCAAAACATCGTGATGACATAATCAAATGGCCAAACTTTCAGAGTCTCTTTACACAGAGGGGACACATGGTGATGTAGAAGAGACATGAAGAAGAGGGGACACATGTTGATGTAGAAGAGACATGAAGAAGAGGGGACACATGTTGATGAAGAAGAGACATGAAGAAGAGGGGACACATAGTGATGTAGTAGAGACATGAAGAAGAGGGGACACATGTTGATGTAGAAGAGACATGAAGAAGAGGGGACACATGTTGATGTAGAAGAGACATGAAGAAGAGGGGACACATGTTGATGTAGAAGAGACATGAAGAAGAGGGGACACATGTTGATGTAGAAGAGACATGAAGAAGAGGGGACACATGTTGATGTAGAAGAGACATGAAGAAGAGGGGACACATGTTGATGTAGAAGAGACATGAGGAAGTGGATTTTGCATAATAGGTGACCTATAATTTACACAATATCTGTTTTCTTTTTTTATTACTGCCGAATTTTATTCCATATTTTATTCCATTTTACTCCATTCTATTTCTATGTAAACACTGCTATATTTTATTACATTTTTTATTATTTAAAATATTTTTTAATGTTATTATAGTTTTCTTAAAATAATAGTTTTTCATTTTTATTTTACTTGTATGTATGCACCGTGACATCAAGTCAAATTCCTCATACGTGTCAACCTACCTGGTAATAAACCTGTTTCTGATTGTGATTCTGACACACAGCTACAGGTGTTGGGTTGTGAGCATTCAGCGGGGATGTTGGGAACAGATTCTTCCTGCAGGGGGGTTTCAAACACAGAAGGAAACAGGACATTGGAGTTCTGAGGATCTCTCTATCTCAACTATAAGGGTGGAAGCTTGTGGAGTCCTGATGTGGTACCTCACGGCGTCATGGCGCTTCTTTGTGGCGTCTGTCACTTTCCCCGGCAAGATCTCCAGGCTGCCGGAGAGAGACGAGCACAGGCTAGAGTTTGCCGTGCGAGATTTCCCGGGGCTGACGTGTGGCCAGCGCACCGCCTTCGGGCTACTCTGCTCCTTCTCGATGTCGGCCAGGATGCGTTCACGGTGCGAACTGATGTGGGACGTCCTCAACTCGAATGGTTCACACGTAGTAGTGGGCTTCACCTCCTTCTGTTTCTCCAGGTGTTTCTGGAAGCGTCTGTAACGGGCGTCGAAGTCGGGCACCTCTGTGTGAATGTGGGGTTTGAGGGAGATGTTGTCGTCCCCTTTCACCTCAGAGTTACCGTCTTTGTTTTTCTTGCGGTCGCTGAGTCGTCGTGTGAGCATGCTGGGAGGCATGGCGGCGCTGTGGAGCATCTCCTCGGCTCTCATCTGTATCTTGATGGAGCGGTACAGCTGCTCCTCCTTCATCTGCTCCCCTGTGGCAGCTGCGTACACAGACCTGGGAACAGGCTTGGCTCTGAAGGGTTTCACTTTGTCCTCATTGGGTGAAGGACGCCGCTCTTTCTGCTCCTTCTTCAGCCGCTCCCTCTCCAGGAAGCTGAAGGGCTTCTGGAGGGCTCGAGGCTGCACGTCTTCTCGCTTCTTGCGCCCCTGCAGATCCTCGTAGAGCGGGAGGTGAACATGAGCCGGTATGGGGCTGGCACGGAACTTCCTCTGGCACTCGGTCAGTTCCTCCAGCTGCCGCCTCAGGTCTGCGTTCTCCTGTTCGATCTCTGAGCGAGACTTTATGCCACGCTTCTGCCTCTCGTCCTCACGCAGCATCATCTGGAAAGGTTCTGGGACGGTGGATTTGTGTTTCAAGTTCTCCTGCTCTCCGTCTTTATGCTCCCGCCTCTTCTTTCCTCTTCCCCTTCGTGGCTTCTTCTGGTCTGCGGGGAGGCTTTGCATGGAGGAGGCGGACAGGTGCTTAGGGGACAGCTTGAAGTCCTGCCACATGTTCTTGATGTGCGCTTTAGGAGAAAACACCAAGCCTTTCTCCACATGTGTTTCCTCCTCTTCGTCTGAGTAGTCGGACTGAGGGGAGCTCCTCCTCAGCTCAACTGCAGACTGAGACTTCCTCAAGTGGCGTGAAGCTGCTGGGCTGCTGTGTGACCATGGGACCCTAACAGGGAACATCAACCAAATATGACAAAGCACCTCATCGAATAAAATGACAGACCATCACTTTATATCAAACACATTGAAAAAGATGTTCATAACTATGTCTTCATTGGTGAATAATCATTGTTAAATGATGGGGAACTGACACAATTGCACTTGTCTGGACGTCTTTGCCAAAAAACTAGGAACTTAAATTCATAATGGCATCAAATCAGCACATCTTATCAAAGAGGAAGCGAAGAAGGGCAAAGACATCTTGTGTTGAAAAGCATTTGAAACAACACGACACTAGTATAATACAAACCCACTATTTATTTAAATAAGGTTAAACGTTTCAAATAAATACAGCCACTTTGCTCAGCATATGTAACTAAACCTTAAAAGATAAGTTCACCAAAATGTATGAATCAAATTTCACTTGCTGAATATGTTTTAACCCTGAAAATATATTTAAGGTTTTGAAATATCTGGGATGTAACCTGTGCCGCACAAAGTACAGACGATGAATTAGCGATGTGTTTTTCCACAAGCAAGTCCCAGGTACCGTCAACAGTTCAATACTTCCTACTTTACTTAACCCATAAAATGCACTTAACCTCCATCGTAGAGGGATATCGTCAGAAGTTCAGAGGTGAATATCTTAAAACCCACAGCACACAAAACAAAACTACAGAGCTACATACGACGAGCAGTTTTTAAGAAACTATATATTGTGATTTGGGTCAACCGATAAAACCTCCAGACAAACATCCAGGCATGAGAATCCCCAGACAATTACCTTTGATCCGTCTTAACATAATCCTGTTGACTAGGAGCCACGCACCTGTGCCTGTCTGTCTGCAGCGCGGTGGCTCCCGGGGGCTCGGAGGCCTTGAGCTGCAGCTTCCTCCGGTACATGCTCTCCAGCTCGGCCATGGTGCGCAGGTGAGCCTTCTTCAGCTCCTCCAGCTTGCTGTAGTACTCCTCGTTGGAGAAGAAGATCTCACTCAGGTCGAGGCGGTCTCCTGTCGCTCTGTAGTCCGTCAGCATGAGAGGCCCCCCCCTCCCCACATAGTCCTCCTCACAGTAATCAGAGCCAGAGTCTTCGTAGTCGCGCTGAAAAAGGTCAAAAGTCTTGTAAAGCTCATTTGCCAATCAGTGGCCATTTTATACATTTCATTAAGGCGCATCTCATTATATTCTATTTTAAGTACTGTGTGCGTGCCTTTTATATAAGAGTGTTCTATTTCTTTCGTCTCCATCTATACTTTGCTGTAACAAAGTAATAGCAATAGCTGTATGTAAATTGTAATCCCTGTAATGCTACTGTATGATGTCCTTCTGTTGTTCTGTTTATGTTTTTAATGTTTCATGTGGAACCTACTTGAGCAGGTCTCCCTTGAAAAAGAGAGCAATGATCTCAATGGGATACAACCTGGATAAATAAAGGTGTGAAATGAAATGAAATGAATAGCTGGTAATTTTTTATTCTGTAAATCCTGTACATCCCTTTGAACATGCGACACATTTCTGCTCCACACTACCTCTAAATCTGCACAGCTCTCCAATATAGCATGTTTTATACTTTATTTTACTGTACTCAGTTGCTTACATGTTTACATTTTGTGTAACTATTGTCTTTCATTTTAAATGTGTTACAACAGTCTTTAAAATAGTTTTTATAATAGTACTTTTTCTTGTTCCTTTAAAAAAAAAATGGCAGTGCAAAAAGCACTGCCATTTTTTTTTTGTGTCTTTTTATGAACCATTTACACCAAAGCAAATACCTCGTATGTGTACACCTACTTAGAAATAAAAACAACTCTGATTCTGATTATATCTAATTCCTTTGACAAACATCATCATTTCACACATGGAATTTTTGTAAGATGATGTCAAATGTAGCCTGAAACTAATATATTTGTTCAGACTATTATATGATATGCTTGCTGCAGGACATTGTTTTTAAGCACCAGGCCCCCTGTAGCAGCGCTCCTGCAGAACTAAGCCTATTAAGAGCAGCGAGCGAGCCATATGGTGGAACACAAAGGCCAGATTACCATGGAAAGCTCAACTGACACACACCCTGCATCAGGTGGCTGCCTCTTCTGATGGAAGCATTAGCATCAGCTGAAACGGGTCACCAGCCTGTGAGGACAGCAGGGTTGTCGGGGGTTGTTGTCTGGAGGGTAGTTAAGTGTTTGGGAATTTAAATGGAAGGTTACGTGACGTCTGGTAGTCAAGAAGGATTTTCCAAAATAGTCAGGCCAGCAAATGATACAGCTCAAATCCTCTCTATCAGACCGACTGGCGACTGACCTCAAACTGCCAACCCCCTGTTGACTGGACGTTAGCTGGTTCACTCAAAACGATATAATAAATACATCTTTCATCTCAGACATGTGCCAATGAGCTGCAATGCCATTTTATGTATATATTTATTTGCAAATTCCTTGTTCAAAGCATAGAAAAGTAGGATCATTTGAGTCCAAATTATTACTTTTTTGCAGCCAAATTATTCATTTTCTTTAAAAAAGCTGTTGGTTTTATTCACATATTTAACTTCATCATCATTAGAGATTATTTTTGGTGAAAATCTACAACATGTATTTGAAGTTACTATACTTTTAACTAGATCAAGTTAGTTACTTTCTATCTGTAAAAGAAGCCTTGTTGACAGTGTTTTATATATAAAGGTTAGTTGTTAAGTAGCTCCACAGCAGAATGAGTAGCAGTGTTGAAACTACACAGACCTGTTACTAATGTGAGAGTTGAAATCCCATAATCCACTATATCCAAACGATTTAGCAACTAGTTACTTTACAAGTTGAATGTTTTTGAAATAGTTCATCAAAATATGATTTCTTACAAATAGAACTATTCCAAAACACATGTGCCTACGAGTGATAATAGTTACCAGATAAATCACTCGATGGACGAGACACTTTTGATGATTTCAGTCACTGTTCCTGTCAGAATAAATCATGTTTCCAGCTGCTGAAATGTGATGTTTTGCTTTGAGTTGCCTACTTTGACTTTAAACACTTTTCACCATTAAACCCAGGCTAAATACCTTTTCAATGTGCTTATACATTATATACTTAGAGCAAATCATCTCAATACTTCTTCCATCACTGACAGTTCATATTATAATCAAATAGTACCAATACCACACAGTAAGAATATAACATTTCAAGTTAAAGAACTGCATCAATAATGGTAAGAAAATGTACTTACAGTATTAGACGTGAAAGTACTCATGTATAAAAAGTACAACATTGGCTTAGAAGTATAGAGTAGTATAACATGAAAACACTCAAGTAAAGTACCTCATGTGTACTTAAGTACAGTACTTACATGTACTTAGTTACTTTCCACCTCTGCCTTAAAAGTATAAACTAGCAGGAAATGTGGGCTGCTTTGGTAAATCAGAGGTGGGAGAAGTACTCTGATCTTGTACTTAAGTAAAAGTACAAGTACTTGGCTCTTGTACTTGAGTAAAAGTAGAAGTACCAGAGAGTAGGAATATTTTGTATTGCAAGTCAAAGTCCTGCATTCAAAATGTTAATCAAGTAAAAGTAGAAAAAAGTATTGGCATCAAATATATAGTTAAAGTAGCGACAGTAAAAGTATTCATTGTGCAGATTGGTCCATTTCAGAATAATATATATGACATGTTTAATAATGATTGATCATTAAAGTGTTATCAAAGCTGGTAAAGGTGCAGCTAGTTTGAATGACTTTGTATACTGCAGGGTAGCTTGTGAATTTACTCCAGGTGGAACTAAAGTCTGATTTAACACTTGATTATATTTCACATCATTCATCATACACGTGCAGTCGGGTAGAAGTACAAAGTAGTACCTCAAAATTGTTCTTAAGTACAGTACTTCAGTACATGTACGTAGTTACTTTACACTGTATTTACCTCCCTCTCGTAGTCCCGGTTGTCCGTTAAACAGGTATCTGTGTGTGGCAGCACTCGTCTCCCCCGCTCGTAAGAAGCTAACGGCGCTTTGGTGTGCGGATCTACCGGCGTTTTCAGGCAAGAAGTGACCAGCACGTTGGTCCGGTGGGCGTTTGCCATGACGACGCAGTATTTCCTCCACTTTAATGTAGTTTAAATGTTAAATAAAGGGACAAAAACGAGATCATTTGCGATAAATCAGTCTGTAATCCACGCGCTGAAAACTGTTTCGGTAACTAGGCAGCAGGTGGACTCCTTAGCAACGGAGCGGTGCTTGGTTGGGAAGGAAGTGACGTAGCGGGACAGGAAATGACAGGATGATTGCATAAATAATTAAGTGTTATATATTTTAGAAGTGGTAGAAGAGTTCCACTGCTAGTAATACAACTGTAATAAAATCTAACTTAGGTAAAAGTAATATCAGCTAAATGTACACAAAAACGTTCCCTTTAATTAAATGGGTTTCTATTGCATGTATGTCTTGGGTTTGTTATTTGACTGCTTTGGTAGTTTATTTACAGCAATGCATGATATGCCATGTCATTATGCACTTATGACTACTTTTTCATTTCATAGATTTCTCTTGTCAAACTTACCTGCCTTAAAAAAGTAGAAACATTTTTATTTCTTAGATTTTCTTGTGAGATCTCATTTTTTTAAGTGTTTAGGCTTGCTAGTGACGTGAAGTTATGTTGATCCTTTTTATCAGATGTACAGGAGGGGAAAAGCCCTAAAACATACCTACTAATGCTTGTAGCGATCTGAACTGTAATATGGGGGTTTAAAATCCTGTGAAACGGCATTAAGAAACGAGAATTGTATAACTTCTACTACTTCATGACCCTCTCTAGAAGGCCACTACCCATAGGTTGAATTTAAAACAACGAGGCAACAGAATCACACAGGCAACAGCTGGAGTGTCAACAAAAAAAAGAAGCCTTTATTATTAAATTACTCAACGTAACAACTACAGTGGAAATCTGAACAGACTGACGTTGACAGAGTCCTCTGGTCCATGCAGTACGAGCAGGCTTCGTGGACAGAACTCAGTGGACAAACTCGTATCTCTTTATCGGGTGTTTACCTGAAACAACACAAAGAAAACAGACTTTAGAATAAACCTGGATAGCAGTGATCCGAGCCAGAAAAACTGTTTAATCCACAGCTTGAGTCTTACCACGTCGTCAATCTTGAGGATGCTGCGGACCGTCTCTGTGGAAAGAGTCAGAGCGCTGATGGAAACCAGTAGAGGCTGCACCACCTGCTCCTCCAGGATGTTGGAGATTCCTCCCTGTGGGACACAAAGTGAACCAGAGGAAAAAACATTAACAAAACATAACGTTGACAAAAGCATGAACAGAAACACACACACACAACTAACACCAGAACACACACGAACCAACACCAGAACACACACACACAGAGCTAGCACCAGAACAAACACACACTAACACCACAGAAACATGAATACAATAACAACATGAGGCAGACATGTAAGGTGGGGAAGGAGAGCAGACCTTGCGGACGTTGATGCCGGCCGACTTGTCTCCCTGAGCATGTCTGTTGCGCAGCTCCGTCACGGTGGAGATGGGGTTCAGCCCGGCGTTCTCAGCCAGCGTGGAGGGGATCACCTCCAGGGCGTCAGCGTACGCCCGCACGCAGTACGCCTCCATGCCGGCCAGGGTGCGGGAATATTCAGCCAGACGCACGGCCAGCTCGATCTCTGGAGCGCCGCCTCCGGCAATCAGAGCCCTGAGAGGAGAGGTGAGGAAAGATACAATATGTCACAATGTGTGCCCAAAAGAAAGGTCAGGTAATATCTGAAACCTGGGAACATTTAAAAAAGTAATTCCAATGAGTCAAGTAACACAAGCAGTCAGAAATGGGAAGGGAGGCTAAATCTATGAACACCTGAAAATATTAAAGAACAAGCACCCTAAATCTTTTCCCTGGGATATGATAAATATGTAGGAACGCTCTCCGTCACAGTTGCCGAGACAACCAGGACTGAATAAAAGGAGAGCTTTCCACATTACTGTTCCTCTGTTTCTTACGCTCCAGCAGGAAGAGACTGCAGGAGCGCCTTTGTAAGAGGGAATCTGTTCCTGTACTCTGTGCCTAAAACATGCATCAGGATTTTATCTCTGTAGATAAACTCGGCAGTAGTGACTGACCTCCTCTTGACCAGGCAGCGGATGACACACAGAGCGTCGTGGATGGAGCGCTCGGCCTCCTCGATCACCAGCTTGTTGGAGCCTCGCACCACGATGGTCACCGTCTTCCCGGGGCTGGCACAACCTGTGATCTGTGGGGGGGGGGGGGAACATCCAACGTTTACTGGAGGTGTTAATGTCTATAGATTAGAT